GGTGTAGCTCTTGCTGCAGGAGGAGCAGCCGTACGGTCGTACGTCGCTGTGAGACAGCAGGTGCTTCTCCAGGTCGAACTTCCTGCGGAGACACTTCCCGCACTGAGGACAGGGGAAGGGCCGCTCACCTGGGGACAGGAAGTACCAGACAGGAAGTCACACAGACAGGAAGTCACACAGACAGGAAGTACCACAGACAGGAAGTACCACAGACAGGAAGTCACACAGACAGGAAGTACCACAGACAGGAAGTACCACAGACAGGAAGTACCACAGACAGGAAGTACCAGACAGGAAGTCACACAGACAGGAAGTACCACAGACAGGAAGTACCACAGACAGGAAGTACCACAGACAGGAAGTACCACAGACAGGAAGTCACACAGACAGGAAGTACCACAGACAGGAAGTACCACAGACAGGAAGTACCACAGACAGGAAGTCACACAGACAGGAAGTACCACAGACAGGAAGTCACACAGACAGGAAGTACCACATACAGGAAGTCACACAGACAGGAAGTACCACAGACAGGAAGTACCACAGACAGGAAGTCACACAGACAGGAAGTACCACAGACAGGAAGTACCACAGACAGGAAGTACCACAGACAGGAAGTCACACAGACAGGAAGTACCACAGACAGGAAGTCACACAGACAGGAAGTACCACAGACAGGAAGTCACACAGACAGGAAGTACCACAGCGTTATATATAATATAGGGCTGTCAAGTTAACGCGTTAATAACGCGTTAAAATGCACGATTAATTTGCGATTAAATATTTTAATCGACTGACAGCCCTAATATATACAAATACTAAATACACTAAATATATGTCGTTACCTGTGTGGATGCGGCGATGCTCGGTCAGGTGACAGGAAATGGAGAAGGCCTTCCCACAGTCCTGGCAGCGGTACGGCCGCTCGCCCGTGTGCATCCTCATGTGTTTCTGCAGGTCTCCTCCTGACGGCCAGCCCTTCCCACACACCGTGCACACGTACGGGCGCTCACCTGCCCAGAGAGAGAGTACATGCTTTACTCAGGTAGAAGTACTCACATCCTTTACTCAGGTAGAAGTACTCACATCCTTTACTCAGGTAGAAGTACACACATGCTTTACTCAAGTAGAAGTACACACATGCTTTACTCAGGTAAAAGTACACACATCCTGTACTCAGGTAGAAGTACTCACATCCTTTACTCAGGTAGAAGTACACACATGCTTTACTCAAGTAGAAGTACACACATGCTTTACTCAAGTAGAAGTACACACATCCTGTACTCAGGTAGAAGTACACACATCCTGTACTCAGGTAGAAGTACACACATCCTTTACTCAGGTAAAAGTACACACATCCTGTACTCAGGTAGAAGTACACACATCCTTTACTCAGGTAGAAGTACACACATCCTTTACTCAGGTAGAAGTACACACATCCTTTACTCAGGTAGAAGTACACACATCCTTTACTCAGGTAGAAGTACACACATCCTGTACTCAAGTAGAAGTACACACATTCTTTACTCAAGTAGAAGTACACACATCCTTTACTCAAGTAGAAGTACACACATCCTTTACTCAAGTAGAAGTACACACATCCTTTACTCAGGTAGAAGTACACACATCCTTTACTCAAGCAGAAGTACACACATCCTTTACTCAGGTAGAAGTACACACATCCTTTACTCAGGTAGAAGTACACACATGCTTTACTCAAGTAGAAGTACACACATGCTTTACTCAGGTAAAAGTACACACATCCTGTACTCAGGTAGAAGTACACACATCCTTTACTCAGGTAGAAGTACACACATCCTTTACTCAAGTAGAAGTACACACATTCTTTACTCAAGTAGAAGTACACACATCCTTTACTCAAGTAGAAGTACACACATCCTTTACTCAGGTAGAAGTACACACATCCTTTACTCAGGTAGAAGTACACACATCCTTTACTCAGGTAGAAGTACACACATCCTTTACTCAAGTAGAAGTACACACATGCTTTACTCAGGTAGAAGTACACACATCCTGTACTCAGGTAGAAGTACACACATCCTGTACTCAGGTAGAAGTACACACATCCTTTACTCAGGTAGAAGTACACACATCCTTTACTCAAGTAGAAGTACACACATCCTTTACTCAAGTAGAAGTACACACATCCTGTACTCAGGTAGAAGTACACACATCCTGCACTCAGGTAGAAGTACACACATCCTGTACTCAGGTAGAAGTACACACATCCTGTACTCAAGTAGAAGTACACACATCCTTTACTCAAGTAGAAGTACACACATCCTTTACTCAAGTAGAAGTACACACATCCTTTACTCAAGTAGAAGTACACACATCCTGTACTCAGGTAGAAGTACACACATCCTGCACTCAGGTAGAAGTACACACATCCTGTACTCAGGTAGAAGTACACACATCCTGTACTCAGGTAGAAGTACACACATCCTTTACTCAAGTAGAAGTACACACATCCTTTACTCAGGTAGAAGTACACACATCCTTTACTCAAGTAGAAGTACACACATCCTTTACTCAAGCAGAAGTACACACATCCTTTACTCAAGCAGAAGTACACACATCCTTTACTCAAGTAGAAGTACACACATCCTTTACTCAAGTAGAAGTACACACATCCTTTACTCAAGTAGAAGTACACACATCATGTAAGAAGTAGAAAGTAGAAAGTAGTGGAGTAAAGTACTGATACCAGAAGCATGTACTTAAGTCCCCCTCTCCTCACCTGTGTGGCGCCTCACGTGCACGTTGAGCCCAGCGAGGGCAGTGAAGTCCTTGGGGCAGTGGGGGCAGGTGAAGGGGCGCTCCCCGCTGTGCGTCCTCAGGTGACCCTCCAGGCCGTGCCGGGTCTTGAACCGCTTCCCGCACTGAGCGCACAGGAAGCGGCGCTCCAGGCCGTGGTTGCTCCGGTGAGACTGCAGACCGGAGGCCGAGCCGAACGCCTTGGAGCACAGATCACAGGGGAAGAGCCGGGAGGAGTGGGAGCGCTGGTGGATCCTCAGCTGGGTCACACCTGGAGGAACATATATATATATATATATTAAAGTACTGGTGGATCCTCAGCTGGGTCACACCTGGAGGAACATATATATATATATATATATTAAAGTACTGGTGGATCCTCAGCTGGGTCACACCTGGAGGAACATATATATATATATATATATTAAAGTACTGGTGGATCCTCAGCTGGGTCACACCTGAGAAACATATATATATATATATATATTAAAGTACTGGTGGATCCTCAGCTGGGTCACACCTGGAGGAACATATATATATATATATTAAAGTACTGGTGAATCCTCAGCTGAGTCACACCTGGAGGAACATATATATATATATATATATATTAAAGTACTGGTGGATCCTCAGCTGGGTCACACCTGGAGGAACATATATATATATATATATTAAAGTACTGGTGGATCCTCAGCTGGGTCACACCTGGAGGAACATATATATATATATATATATTAAAGTACTGGTGGATCCTCAGCTGGGTCACACCTGGAGGAACATATATATATATATATATATATTAAAGTACTGGTGGATCCTCAGCTGGGTCACACCTGAGGAACACATATATATATATATATATTAAAGTACTGGTGGATCCTCAGCTGGGTCACACCTGGAGGAACACATATATATATATATATTAAAGTACTGGTGGATCCTCAGCTGGGTCACACCTGGAGGAACACATATATATATATATATTAAAGTACTGGTGGATCCTCAGCTGGGTCACACCTGAGGAACACATATATATATATATATATATATATATATATTAAAGTACTTGTGGATCCTCAGCTGGGTCACACCTGAGGAACACATATATATATATATATATTAAAGTACTGGTGGATCCTCAGCTGGGTCACACCTGAGGAACATATATATATATATATATATTAAAGTACTTGTGGATCCTCAGCTGGGTCACACCTGGAGGAACACATATATATATATATATTAAAGTACTGGTGGATCCTCAGCTGGGTCACACCTGGAGGAACATATATATATATATATTAAAGTACTGGTGGATCCTCAGCTGGGTCACACCTGAGGAACATATATATATATATATTAAAGTACTTGTGGATCCTCAGCTGGGTCACACCTGGAGGAACATATATATATATATATTAAAGTACTTGTGGATCCTCAGCTGGGTCACACCTGGAGGAACATATATATATATATATTAAAGTACTTGTGGATCCTCAGCTGGGTCACACCTGAGGAACATATATATATATATATATATCAAAGTACTTGTGGATCCTCAGCTGGGTCACACCTGGAGGAACATATATATATTAAGTACTGTTGCTCAGCTGGAACATGCTATAATGAATATATAAAGAGTCTGCAGTGAATATAATATATATATATACACAGTATAATGTGTGTACCTGGGAAGGTGAGGTCACAGAAGCGGCAGCTGAACTGAAGCTCCGCCCCCTCAGCAGAGTGCGTCTGCAGGTGTCTGAGGAGGCGGCTCTGAGAGCTGAAGCTCAGCGGACACACAGTGCAGGTGAGGGGGGGGGGGGCGGTGCTGCAGCCGGTGGGCGTCACACTGCCGGGCTGTGGGGAACACCTGGCTGCAGGTGGGGCAGCTGAACTCCCCCGCAGAGTGTGTGTGTGTGAGTGTGTGAGCGGTGAGGCTGGACAGGTGTGTGAAGGTGCGCTCACAGGAGCTGCAGCTGAACAGCGTGCGGCTGCGATGGCTGCGCTGGTGGCTGCGCAGCTCCGCCTGCGACCTGAAGGAGGCGCTGCACTGGAAGCAGGAGTGAGAGCGGGGGGGGGCGGGGCCCTGAGGGGAGGGGGCGGGGCTCTGTGTCAGGGGGCGGAGCCTGCGTAGAGGAGGCGCGCCTTAACGCTGAGCTGCACGACTTGCTGGTGCTCAGGTGACGAATCACCTGCAGGAGACGGGAGACATTATTAATATTCTTTATTATTATTACTCTGTGTTGTTGTTATTGTTCTGTGTTGTTGTTATTGTTCTGTGTTGTTGTTATTGTTCTGTGTTGTTGTTATTACTCTGTGTTGTTGTTATTGTTCTGTGTTGTTGTTATCGTTCTGTGTTGTTGTTATTGTTCTGTGTTGTTATTACTCTGTGTTGTTGTTATTGTTCTGTGTTGTTGTTCTGTGTTGTTGTTATTGTTCTGTGTTGTTGTTATTGTTGTTGACATGTGGAGGTGATATCTGACCTGGGATCTGTAGATGAAGCACTTCCCACAGCGAGGACACTTGTGAGCGACGCGCTGAGCGGGAGACGCTCTGTACACACGGGGGGGCGGGGCCTCAGGGCTCTGATCTGATTGGTCCCCTGTGGAGAGGAGGCGAGGTTAGAGGCTGTCTGTCAGAGAAGTGTGTGTGTGTGTGTGTGTGTGTGCCTCACCTGTGTCCTCTGATTGGTCCCCTGTGGAGAGGAGGCGAGGTTAGAGGCTGTCTGTCAGAGAAGTGTGTGTGTGTGTGTGTGTGTGTGTGTGTGTGTGTGTGTGCGTATGTGTCTCACCTGTGTCCTCTGATTGGTCGGCAGAGTCTCCAGGTGACTCCTTCAGCCTGACAGGAAACAGAAACATTGATGGTGGATTCAGACAGATTGAAATGTGATGATGTCATAATCAGAGTCTCACCTGTGCACCTCCACGATCACAGGTGTGATGTCCCATGAGTCCCCGCCCCCTGCTGCGCTCTGATTGGACGCCTCCTGCTCCTCGCTCTGACCAATCACAGTCTCCTCCTGACCCTCCTTCAGCACCAGCACCTCCACCTTCACCTGAGAGAGAGGCTCTGATTGGACGTCAGGGGGAGGATCTGATTGGACGTCAGTGGGGGGATCTGATTGGACATCTGGGAGAGCTTCTGATTGGCTGTTGGCGGGAGGAGGCTCCTGATTGGCCGGTTTGTTGAGGAGGGGGTGGGACCAGGCTGTGAGGAGCACGTTCTCCGTGTCCTGTCTCACTGAGAGAGAAAGAGAACATTTAATATAATATAATCATAAACAGTGAATTCATGAAAGGTGTGTTTTTACCTGTGGTGGAGGCTTTCCCCAGCCGACAGCTCTGATTGGTCAGCAGCTCCCTCAGGTGCTCCGCCTCCTGCAGACACTCCTCAAAACCTCCGGGGGCAGCAGAGAGCCAGCAGGCCGTCTGAAACAACACTTCCTGTTTACATCCCCCGGTGCATTCTGGGAACTGGTTCGTCAGGTGATCACAGGTGATATATTTACCTGTTTGAAGTCGGGAACAGGAAACAGCTGTTCTGTCCGGGACAGGAAGTCAGAGATGAGCTCCTGGAGGGCGGAGTCGAAGCTGTGGTCGAACACTTCCTGCAACACCAACGAAGAAGAGTGTTAAACCTGTTAAAGTTGTAGTTTTTAGTGTTGTTGTAGTTTTAGCGCTGACCTGCAGGAGGCGCTGTCTGTCGTCAGGACTCTGCGTGAGGAGAGACTGCAGAGAGGACGTCTCGTCATCCATCTGAGAGACGATAGGATTACAAACAGAGTCAGCTCACACTCTGTGACTACGTTTCCCAAAATGCACTGCATGCAGGTCACATGTACATTAACTCTTATTGTCATTTTTAATTGGTTGGTTGTTATCTAAAATAATTAAATAAGCCATTTGGAAATGTGAGAGAGTTTAAGGAACATCTCTTTGAAAGTTATTTATGAATTTCTTCTACATTTCTGGAGAGAGAGAACTCTGAGTGTCCTGTGAGCGGCGCCGTGTGACGTCAGGTTACAACTGACCGTGTCCTCGGAGCGGTGAGTGAGGGTCACCTGAGGGTCGCTGAGGGTCACCTGAGGGTCGCTGAGGGTCACCTGGAGGAGGACAGGTGGTTAACGGGGATTAATAGATGTATATATATATTTAATATATATATGAATACCTTTGCCCTGAGAGCCAGCAGCAGCAGCCTCCTCTGCCTGTCCGTCAGCAGCTGAGGGACCGCCTCCGTCACCATGGAAACAAAGTCCTCCAGCATCCCATAATGCTTCACACTCTGTTGCCGGGCGACCTGCCACATGGAGGCCGTCATCAGGCGGAGGGGGGGGAGGAGGAGGCGCAGCGAGGAGAGGGGGGGGGGGCGAGGCTGGGGGGGGACACAGGTGATTTATTTGACTTTTTCTTGTTATTTTTATGGATTTCTTTCTAATTTCCGGAGAAGTTTCTGCAGAACATTTCCATCATTTCGTCTGAACTTCTTGTTTATTCCTGAGAGAATTAAAGTCAATCTCTGAAGTTTCTGAACGAAATCAACAGAAATAATATATTATACATACACCGAGTTAAAGAGTAAGCACTCCTGCTTTATAATAGATGTTTAGATGTGTTATATTAATTACACACCTCTTCTAAAGCTCAGTTTAGTTTATAAATGTGAGTTTTTCACACTGAGTCTCGTTAGCATCGGTTGAGCTAGGTGGCTAACCTTTCTAAAAGCCCCACAAATGTTTTAAATGCAGATTAAAGTTCATGAAAATGATGAATAGACTTCTTCCTCACTTACCCATTCCTCTCTGTTGGGTCTCGCGCTTCCTGGTTACTGCTAAATACTGAAATAAAGGCAAAATAATGAGCTAAACGTGAGCTAACAGCTAACTCTGTTTACAGCTTCTTCTTCTTCTTCTTCTGTTGTTTTGATGGCGGTTGGCAAACAGCTTTCAGGTGCAGCACCGCCGCCTTCCGGAGTGGAGTGTGGATACAGCCCTGAGCAGGAGAACATCACAGGAGAGCAAATACCTACAGGAATAAATACATGTATTAATAAATAGAGGAATACATCAATACAATAATGAATACATGTATTAATAAATATGTTTGAGTTTTATTTTATTATCTTATCATTTGTTAAGAATTTAACCTATATTTAATTTGTATTACATATTCATTTTTTAATTATTTGTATTGTTTAGATTGTATTTATCATAACCCCATTATTACATGTGTCTTTTAAGTTTTTATTTCCTATAAACTCTATTTTCTTCACTTTTTTGGAAAGTCAGTTAGGAGTTAAAATTAGATTATCTTTAATATCGTTTTTTGTATAATTTATATAATTTATAAAAAGTATATATTCATATTTTAATGTTTATATCTTATTTATTATTTCCCAACTATAACACGTGTCTTTTTTAAAGTGGAGTCCTCCTTCAGAAGCATGTTGGAGGAGTAATGGCGCCCTCTGGTGGAGAACCAGAGGAACTGCAGGCTGTCTGTGGGAGGACCGCCTCTTCAGATGCTTCTCTGCCGGAGGAGCGACACTCTGACCCGGCCTGAGGAGCAGCGAACACCCCGAGAACCTGCACCTTCCCCTGTAAGTGTTTAAACTCTTTAAATAATGGAGACATTAATGCAGTTTGGCTCCATGTCCTGTGATTATGCAAGGAGACACGATTCGTCAATTGAGACTTTAACCATACTCCATTAAGAAAAGTGCTTTTTTTACATTTGGCACTTCCAGGTTAATGCATGTTATTTTATATGATTATGTTTACATGTTGTCAGTTATAATAACCTCCTCTGGTGTATTCGGCTAACTTTTCTTCAACCAAACATCCCATAATATGTGGGAAATCTGAACTTCTGTGCTCCAGTTTGAGGTGTCCCTGAACGTCCCTCCATAGAGAAGGTTGCTGTTAGCCCATCCTTTACCCGGATCTAAAAAGTTAAATCTAATATGAAAACATCCTTTATTGGTGAATAAAAGGTGAGCCGAATTAAAGCAGACATCGTGTTTATTATATAAAAGTATTAATACATGTGTAATAACCCGTTTTCATTACTTAAATAAGAATATAACGTTTAATGTACGGCTTTTAAACAGCGCTTCAATATGATCTCAATTCGCATCGTATCTAATGGAGCAAATTCCTGCAATTTAAAGTCTTACATCAACTTCTATTCTTTGTTATTGTGTGTGAAATGTGAGCCGAATTAAAGCAGGCATCCTGTTTATTCTATAGAAGTATTAATGCATGTGTTTTATTCTCGTAATTACACCTGCAAACTGTATTTATAAAGTTTACATTAATTAATGCAACGTCTCTAATCCAGATTTCCTCTACAAGTCTGTCGTTTTAAGACAAAATAAACCATTAAATAGCAACTCTTAAATGTTCTATAACAACATGAAAGTCCTCTGGTTTCTTCTGCATGCTTTTCTTCCACCAAACATCCCATAATAAGAGTGAAATCAACTTCTTGTTATAGTGGCTAAAATGAAAGCAGTGATCGTGTTTATTCTATAAAGTGTGTCTTTAGTTGAAATGAGCCTTTAGTCTGCAGGTCTGATGGTGCGTTCAGGAGCCTCTGTGTTTTATCAGGAGACCTGTGTTTAACATTGAATGAGAGCTCGGTATGCATGAGTAGCAGAAACCTGAGAGTCAACAAGGGTTTCATTTCAGTTTAAAACACGTTATTAAGGTGAACCACTTGAAGCCTCTCGTTCAGTGGAGACAGAAAGTGAGACTCAAAGGATGTTGGAGAACTCGATGCTGATTGGTCGACGCCTTCCTGTGCTCCTCTGAAGCCCTAATGGTCTCTTTGTCTCCGATCAGCAGTAAACTCTTATTTTGAAGGTCGTGACCTCTGGCTTTAAAGCGTCCTGTTGAGATTCAACAGAAGCTTCAATAAAACCCTCCTCCTTTGTTCCTCCTCCTCTTCACATGCTCACAGCCTTCAAAGTCTCTGTCTCTGCAGGTCCCTCATATTATGGGATGCTTGGTGGACCGGACACACAGAGGACGTTCATGCTGTGAAACAACATGTCATAGTTCAGTCAGAGGTTTAGAGATGCTTTGGTGTGAGTATGTGAAAGAAAGACTGATCTGAAAACGGGTCTGGATTTAAGGACGAGAGACGCATGGATCTGAAGGAATGCTGTAACACGTTGTGATACCTTGATAGAACACACCTTGCTGTAACACGTCGTGATACCTTGATAGAACGCACCGTGCTGTAACACGTCGTGATACCTTGATAGAACACACCATGCTGTAACACGTTGTGATACCTTGATAGAACACACCATGCTGTAACACGTTGTGATACCTTGATAGAACACACCATGCTGTAACACGTCGTGATACCTTGATAGAACACACCTTGCTGTAACACGTCGTGATACCTTGATAGAACACACCGTGCTGTAACACGTCGTGATACCTTGATAGAACGCACCGTGCTGTAACACGTCGTGATACCTTGATAGAACGCACCGTGCTGTAACACGTCGTGATACCTTGATAGAACACACCATGCTGTAACACGTTGTGATACCTTGATAGAACACACCATGCTGTAACACGTTGTGATACCTTGATAGAACACACCATGCTGTAACACGTTGTGATACCTTGATAGAACACACCATGCTGTAACACGTCGTGATACCTTGATAGAACACACCATGCTGTAACACGTCGTGATACCTTGATAGAACACATCATGCTGCTGATTGAAACACCATGCCTGTAAACACGTTGTGATACCTTGATAGAACACACCATGCTGTAACAACGTTGTGATACCTTGATAGAACACCACCATGCTGTAACATGTTGTGATACCTTGATAGAACACACCATGCTGTAACACGTTGTGATACCTTGATAGAACACACCATGCTGTAACACGTCGTGATACCTTGATAGAACACACCATGCTGTAACACGTTGTGATACCTTGATAGAATAACCCCGCTGTAACACGTCGTGATACCTTGATAGAACACACCATGCTGTAACACGTTGTGATACCTTGATAGAACGCACCGTGCTGTAACACGTTGTGATACCTTGATAGAACACACCATGCTGTAACACGTCGTGATACCTTGATAGAACGCACCGTGCTGTAACACGTTGTGATACCTTGATAGAACGCACCGTGCTGTAACACGTTGTGATACCTTGATAGAACACACCATGCTGTAACACGTCGTGATACCTTGATAGAACACACCATGCTGTAACACGTCGTGATACCTTGATGGAACACACCATGCTGTAACACGTCGTGATACCTTGATAGAACACACCATGCTGTAACACGTCGTGATACCTTGATAGAACACACCATGCTGTAACACGTTGTGATACCTTGATAGAACACATCATGCTGTAACACGTCGTGATACCTTGATAGAACACACCATGCTGTAACACGTTGTGATACCTTGATAGAACACAACCATGCTGTAACACGTTGTGATACCTTGATAGAACACACCATGCTGTAAACACGTTGTGATACCTTGATAGAACACCACCATGCTGTAACACGTCGTGATACCTGATAGAACACACCATGCTGTAACACGTCGTGATACCTTGATAGAACACACCATGCTGTAACACGTTGTGATACCTTGATAGAACACACCATGCTGTAACACGTCGTGATACCTTGATAGAACACACCATGCTGTAACACGTTGTGATACCTTGATAGAACACACCATGCTGTAACACGTTGTGATACCTTGATAGAACACACCATGCTGTAACACGTTGTGATACCTTGATAGAACACACCATGCTGTAACACGTTGTGATACCTTGATAGAACGCACCGTGCTGTAACACGTTGTGATACCTTGATAGAACACACCATGCTGTAACACGTTGTGATACCTTGATAGAACACACCATGCTGTAACACGTTGTGATACCTTGATAGAACACACCATGCTGTAACACGTTGTGATACCTTGATAGAACACACCATGCTGTAACACGTTGTGATACCTTGATAGAACACACCATGCTGTAACACGTTGTGATACCTTGATAGAACACACCATGCTGTAACACGTTGTGATACCTTGATAGAACACATCATGCTGTAACACGTCGTGATACCTTGATAGAACACACCATGCTGTAACACGTTGTGATACCTTGATAGAACACACCATGCTGTAACACGTCGTGATACCTTGATAGAACACACCATGCTGTAACACGTCGTGATACCTTGATAGAACACACCATGCTGTAACACGTTGTGATACCTTGATAGAACACACCATGCTGTAACACGTTGTGATACCTTGATAGAACACACCATGCTGTAACATGTTGTGATACCTTGATAGAACACACCATGCTGTAACACGTTGTGATACCTTGATAGAACACACCATGCTGTAACACGTCGTAATACCTTGATAGAACACACCATGCTGTAACACGTTGTGATACCTTGATAGAATAACCCGCTGTAACACGTCGTGATACCTTGATAGAACACACCATGCTGTAACACGTTGTGATACCTTGATAGAATAACCCGCTGTAACTCGGCTCACGGTTCAGGTCACGTTGAAAGACGTGTTTTCTGTCGTGAACCCTAAAAGAGATCTGACTGATATTATGGGATGTTTGCCAATCACATTACATTCATCTGGATGAGACATTTTCTTTACAATATTTTCCTGTCTACCAAATATGGAGACAGGAAGTCAGAACAGCTTCTTCTTTGTTGGTGTTTTCAGATCCGATCAGTTTGAACTTCAACTGAACTGAAGGCTCAGTATTGATCTGACACACACACACACACACACACACACACACACACACACACACACGTCATTGTTTCCTGTCAGTTCAAAGTGCTTATTAAATGAATGTCGTCTGACCTCCATACACCCGTCCATCTGTCTGTCTCTCTCTGTGTGTGTGTGTGTGTGTGTGTGTGTGTGTGTGTGTGTGTGTGTGTGTGTGTGTGTGTGTGTGTGTGTGTGTGTGTGTGTGTGTGTGTGTGTGTGGTGTGTGTGTGTGTGTGTGTGTGTGTGTGTGTGTGTGTGTGTGTGTGTGTGTGTGTGTGTGTGTGTGTGTGTGTGTGTGTGTGTGTGTGTGTGTGTGTGTGTGTGTGTGTGTGTGTGTGTGTGTGTGTGGTCTCTTTAATGGAGGGTAACAGCAGGGTTTTATCACCTGTCGTTATTATTGAGAAGAAGAAGAAGGAGGTCTTTGTTGTTCGGAGGTCACGTTGGCTCCGTTCTGTCTCTCAGAAACACTCAGGTGTGATTCAAGTCCCTCTGATCTCTCACCTGTGTGTCTCACCTGTGTGTCTCCAGGTGTCCTCTCACCTGTGTGTCTCACCTGTGTGTCTCCAGGTGTCCTCTCACCTGTGTGTCTCACCTGTGTGTCTCACCTGTGTGTCTCCAGGTGTCCTCTCACCTGTGTGTCTCACCTGTGTGTCTCCAGGTGTCCTCTCACCTGTGTGTCTCACCTGTGTGTCTCACCTGTGTGTCTCCAGGTGCCCTCTCACCTGTGTGATGTCTCTGAGCTCTGCCGACCTGCTGGACCTCCTGAATCAGTGGGAGGAGCTTAAGGATCTGAACCTGAGCGACCCCAACGTGACCCGGGTCGATGCCACGGTGTGTTCAGGGACCGTGGGACACGCCAGCCTCCTTTACGTCCTCAGCATCTTCTACCTGTTCATCTTCCTCGTTGGTATCGCCTCCAACGCCCTGGTGGTGTGGGTCAACCTGCGCTCGAACAGGAAGTGCTCAGACGTGTTCGTCCTCCAGCTGGCGGCGGCCGACCTGGTTGCCGTGGCGACGCTACCTGTGCAGGTGGGCTCGATGCTGATTGGTCGCTGGCCGTTCGGCGCGGTGCTGTGTAAACTGACTCACCTGGTGTTCAGCGTGAACCTGTTCTCCAGCATCCTGTTCCTCACCTGTATGAGCGTGGAGCGCTACCTGTCCGTCACGCTGCGCCCTGGAGGCCGCAGGGAGCTAACGCCACTCCGCAGGATGCCAACGCGACGACTCGTCTGCGCCGCCGTATGGATGCTAGCGTTAGCCGCCGCGGCGCCAGAGACCTACTTCCTGCAGGTGAGTTCTGATGAAAGGTCTCTGTCCTCTCTCTGACCCTCAGACGGTGGTCTCTAACTCTGATATCTCTGACCCCCAGACGGTGGTCTCTAACTCTGATATCTCTGACCCCCAGACGGTGGTCTCTAACTCTGATATCTCTGACCCCCAGACGGTGGTCTCTAACTCTGATATCTCTGACCCTCAGACGGTGGTCTCTAACTCTGATATCTCTGACCCCCAGACGGTGGTCTCTAACTCTGATATCTCTGACCCCCAGACGGTGGTCTCTAACTCTGATATCTCTGACCCCCAGACGGTGGTCTCTAACTCTGATATCTCTGACCCTCAGACGGTGGTCTCTAACTCTGATATCTCTGACCCCAAGACGGTGGTCTCTAACTCTGATATCTCTGACCCCAAGACGGTGGTCTCTAACTCTGATATCTCTGACCCTCAGACGGTGGTCTCTAACTCTGATATCTCTGACCCCAAGACGGTGGTCTCTAACTCTGATATCTCTGACCCCAAGACGGTGGTCTCTAACTCTCAAATCTCTCTGACCCTCAGACGGTGGTCTCTAACTCTGATATCTCTGACCCCCAGACGGTGGTCTCTAACTCTGATATCTCTGACCCCCAGATGGTGGTCTCTAACTCTGATATCTCTGACCCCCAGACGGTGGTCTCTAACTCTGATATCTCTGACCCCCAGACGGTGGTCTCTAACTCTCAAATCTCTCTGACCCTCAGACGGTGGTCTCTAACTCTGATATCTCTGACCCCAAGACGGTGGTCTCTAACTCTGATATCTCTGACCCCCAGACGGTGGTCTCTAACTCTCAAATCTCTCTGACCCCCAGACGGTGGTCTCTAACTCTCAAATCTCTCTGACCCTCAGACGGTGGTCTCTAACTCTGATATCTCTCTGACCCTCAGACGGTGGTCTCTAATGTCGCGTTTCCACTACACGGCCTTGCTCGGCCCCGCTCGGTATGGCTGGGCCTCGTTAGGACTGGCTCACTTTATGGCGCATTTCCATTACAGTTTAGGAACTGGGGCAGTATCTATAGTAACGCAGTGTAGGCGGAGCCGTGACGTGATCTTCAGAGGACCCCAGAAAAACAACACAGCCGTTAGCTGTTAGCACTCAGAGCTCACAGCTCCTCATATCTGTTCAGAAACTAGACAAAAGTTAAACAAGTACAAACCACAGACTGCCTGTGTCATGGTGAATACAGTTGCTGGTTTATTTATGTCTGTATAGGCCGTTGTTGTGAGTGTGGACGGTCGGAGCATATACTGCGTTAGCTTAGCCAATCTCCATTTAGAAAACAAGCATTTTAAAAGGTTTTTCCCCTGCCGTCTGTCTGCAGACTTGACAAAGCATTAATTCATGGTTTTTACTAACCGGTATCAGTATGTTGTTACTTCATCATTTTGAAACGTGTATTACAATTAAATCACGGTCAAATATGTCCATCTTGTTGTAGTTGTTGCCCCCTTGCCAGCGACGCTCTCTCTAGTTTAGCATACTCAGCCCGACTCAGCCTCGTTGCCTCTGGCCCTAGACCCACGATTTTATGAGGCCAGAAAAACTGTGAATTAGGACCCGCCGGCCGGTACTAGGCCAAGTGGAAACGCAACCAAAGACGGGCCGCTGACGTCACAGCCCTCTTAAACCGGGCTGCGGGCTGTAGTGGAAACGCGCCATTACTCTGATATCTCTCTGACCCTCAGACGGTGGTCTCTAACTCTGATATCTCTGACCCCCAGACGGTGGTCTCTAACTCTGATATCTCTGACCCCAAGACGGTGGTCTCTAACTCTGATATCTCTGACCCTCAGACGGTGGTCTCTAACTCTGATATCTCTGACCCTCAGACGGTGGTCTCTAACTCTCAAATCTCTCTGACCCTCAGACGGTGGTCTCTAACTCTGATATCTCTGACCCCCAGACGGTGGTCTCTAACTCTGATATCTCTGACCCCCAGACGGTGGTCTCTAACTCTGATATCTCTCTGACCCTCAGACGGTGGTCTCTCCTCATCACTCCGGCTCCGTGTGTCGCCCGGTCTTCTCGTCTCGTGAGATGATGGTCTTCGTTCAGATGATCTTCTCCATCCTGGGCTTCCTGCTCCCGCTCCCCATCATCATCGCCTCCTACCTGGCGCTGCCCCCCGACCCCGACCGGGGGGTGAGCCGCCGTGTTGTGCTAAGCTACATCGTGGTGTTCGTGTTGTGCTGGTTACCTCTCCACGTGGTTCTGGTCCTGGACCTGGTGGCCCTGCTGCTGCCCTTCAGCTGCAGTCTGGAGGGCTTCCTGTGGGTGGCGCTGCAGGTGACCCAGTGTGTGTCCATGATGCACTGCGTCCTGAACCCCGTGCTCTACAGCTTCCTGCACCGCAGCTACCGCTACGACCTCATGAAGGCCTTCATCTTCAGGTACTCCAGCCGCTCAGGGGTCGCTCGCCTCATCGACAACGAGAACACAGAGAACACCTCGGAGACCTTTGAGACCCTTGAGACCCTTGAGACTGAGAGCTCTTTGGCAGAGATCAGAGACTGGATATAAAGCATCAGGAACTCTTCCAGGACTTCTAATGTGAACTTTTATCAAAACTTGATATATTTCTTAGGACTTTAAAAGACATTCCTGTCTTAGATGTTTTCCAAGATAGAAACCTTTCCTTTGACTCTTCATCCGGTCTCTGAAGAACTTCTCAAGACTTGCAAACGAACCTCCAGATTTACAAACACTCTGCCAGCTTCTCAAGTCTCAGAAAAAGTTCTCGAGTGTCGGACCGTCCAAACTATCCTCCAGATTTAGGAACTCTTCCAGAACTTCTACAGTACCTCTAATGTGAACTTTTATCAAGATTTGAGATATTTCTTAGGACTCAAGACGTGAGAGAACTTTCTAAAGACTTGCAGATGTCTGAAAGCTTCTAAAGTTCTCGAGATCAGACCGTCTGAACTGTCCTCCAGATTTGGGAACTCTTCAAGACTCTGAAACCTTCGCAGGACTTGGGAAAACTCCTTAAAGACTTCAGGACTGCTTTGTACAGTTCTTAGTTCTCAGGAGTTCATCCTCTGTCTGTGGAACGTTTCTCAAGACGTGAGAACACTTTCTAAAGACTTGCAGATGTTTTGTATAATCCCTTCCTTTGACTCTTCATCTGGTCTCTGAAGGACTCCTCTAGACTTGTTGTTCCTGTAAACTGAGCTCAAGATTCAGGAACTCTTTGTTTGACTCAAGATTTACAAACCCCCTTTGAAAGCTTCTCAAGTCTCGCAAAGTGTTTGTGTCTCAACGATCCTCCAGATTTAGGAACTCTTGGTCTGACTCTGAAACCTCCTCAGGACTTCAGGACTCTTCGTAGGACTCGGGAACCTTCTGAGGACTCGGGACTCTTTGTAGGACTCTGAAACCTTCGCAGGACTTCAGGACTCTTCGTAGGACTCGGGAACCTTCTGAGGACTCGGGACTCTTTGTAGGACTCGGGACTCTTTGTAGGACTCTGAAACCTTCGCAGGACTTCAGGACTCTTCGTAGGACTCTTCGTAGGACTCGGGAACCTTCTGAGGACTCGGGACCCTCCTCTGTCTGTCGGCACTCGCTGTCCTCCAGATTTCAGGATGTTCTAACGTTCCTATTCTCCGTCTGTAAAACTGTAGAGAACGTCTTAAATATTTACAAACTGTGTTATACTTTTATACCTTTGACTAATATAAATGATTAGAGGATTGAACTGTATGTGTTGTTGACATTATGTTGTTGACATGTGTTGTTGACATGTGTTGTTGACATTATGTTGTTGACATGTGTTGTTGACATTATGTTGTTGACATGTGTTGTTGACATGTGTTGTTGACATGTGTTGTTGACATGTGTTGTTGACATTATGTTGTTGACATTATGTTGTTGACATTATGTTGTTGACATGTGTTGTTGACAGGTGTTGTTGACATGTGTTGTTGACATGTGTTGTTGACATTATGTTGTTGACAGGTGTTGTTGACATTATGTTGTTGACATGTGTTGTTGACATGTGTTGTTGACATGTGTTGTTGACATTATGTTGTTGACATTATGTTGTTGACATTATGTTGTTGACATGTGTTGTTGACATTATGTTGTTGACATGTGTTGTTGACATGTGTTGTTGACATTATGTTGTTGACATTATGTTGTTGACAGGTGTTGTTGACATGTGTTGTTGACATGTGTTGTTGACAGGTGTTGTTGACATGTGTTGTTGACATTATGTTGTTGACATGTGTTGTTGACATTATGTTGTTGACATGTGTTGTTGACATTATGTTGACATGTGTTGTTGACATGTGTTGTTGACAGGTGTTGTTGACATGTGTTGTTGACATTATATTCTGTGAAAACATTTATATTAATACTTTTTATTGTTTAGGTAAACATTTACGTTTCTAGTTTCTGAATATTTTGTTAATTTCAGTTTTAATATTTCTGTTATATTGTTGACTTTCTAATGAATAGAAACAAATAAAAACATATTATTATTATTTCTGTTTGCATTCTTTAGAGATAATTATCTTTAATTGTTTTACTTCATTTCTAGATTTTGTATTTCTTTGTTTTTTAAATATTTATTTATTATTTCCTTAAACATTTTATTTTCTCAAATTTCTGTTGATATTTCCACATTTTCTTTTATTGACCTTTTTTTCTTTTTGTATCTTAACGAGCTAAAGTACCTGAGCAGGTGTGAGGGAACATGGAGCAGAAAGGTGACTGAGGTGTCTTCAGAGGAGACACAGGAGCGTGAGAGGAGAGGTCTGTAACAGGTGAACAGGTGTGTTGTGACAGAGGCTGCGTCTCAGGTCGGTTAAATGGAATCCTTGCGTCCCTCACTTGCGTTGTTTCCCTGCGTCTAGTCCCTCCCACCAGGAAGCATGGAGAGACGCAAGGAAACCACGAGAAGCAGGGAAATGAGTTTTCAGAGCAATGGGACGTCCTTTCCTCCGGAGCGTCACGTGAAGCCACGTCCGTTTGTGATGACGCCGCACAGCTGATCGTCTGACAGCAGCTCTGTCCCCGTTGTTTTCACAAACACCCCCGCCTCTGTTAGTACACATTTACTGACACAAACATGTGTATCATCTGTTGTAGACCCAAATACATTAAATAAAAACTCATTCTCAAAAAAGATAAACGCCATTCTTAAAATGTATAAACGAAAAAGCGATCATGAAAATGTTTCCAATAAATGAATAAAATGATCTTTGTCCACTTTGTTGTTCAGATATATCACATATTTGTAACTGAATGATGCATTCATTGAAACAGAACCCAGTATGAACTGAGGAGTGAGTCCCGTGAGTTTCATGTGTTTTCTTCACTCCGCTGGGAAACTGCTCTCATGTCAAGAATCAACAGATCAGTGCGCTGCATCGTCCAATCAGTGAGCGATACACAGTAAGGGGGCGGGGCGAGTCTCTGAGGATTTCAGCGGAGGATGGTCTGGTGGTTCCTCGGTTATCGCTCCTCGCTCCTCGCTCCTCCATTATCGCTCCTCGCTCCTCGCTCCTCCATTATCGCTCCTCGCTCCTCACTCCTCTGGCAGAAATAAGAGCCATGGGACGCTACTCAAGATGGCGCAGACAAATCAACTTCCGGTGAGACCGAGGACCGACGACCGAGGAAATGAAAATAGTCGACCTGAGACGCAGCCAGAGAGAGTCTACCTGAGGGAAGTCTGAGTGAAGTCTCACCTGAGTGAAGTCTCACCTGAGGGAAGTCTCACCTGAGTCTCACCTGAGTGAAGTCTCACCTGAGTGAAGTCTCACCTGAGGGAAGTCTCACCTGAGTGAAGTCTCACCTGAGTGAAGTCTCACCTGAGGGAAGTCTCACCTGAGTAAGTCTCACCTGAGTGAAGTCTCACCTGAGGGAAGTCTCACCTGAGTAAGTCTCACCTGAGTGAAGTCTCACCTGAGTGAAGTCTCACCTGAGGGAAGTCTCACCTGAGTAAGTCTCACCTGAGTGAAGTCTCACCTGAGGGAAGTCTCACCTGAGGGAAGTCTCACCTGAGGGAAGTCTGAGTGAAGTCTCACCTGAGTGAAGTATCACCTGAGTGAAGTCTCACCTGAGTGAAGTCTCACCTGAGTCTCACCTGAGTGAAGTCTCACCTGAGTAAGTCTCACCTGAGTGAAGTCTCACCTGAGGGAAGTTTCACCTGAGTGAAGTCTCACCTGAGTAAGTCTCACCTGAGTGAAGTCTCACCTGAGGGAAGTCTCACCTGAGTAAGTCTCACCTGAGTGAAGTCTCACCTGAGGGAAGTCTCACCTGAGTAAGTCTCACCTGAGTGAAGTCTCACCTGAGTGAAGTCTCACCTGAGGGAAGTCTCACCTGAGTAAGTCTCACCTGAGTGAAGTCTCACCTGAGTGAAGTCTCACCTGAGGGAAGTCTCACCTGAGTGAAGTCTCACCTGAGGGAAGTCTCACCTGAGTGAAGTCTCACCTGAGGGAAGTCTCACCTGAGTGAAGTCTCACCTGAGTGAAGTCTCACCTGAGTGAAGTCTCACCTGAGTAAGTCTCACCTGAGTGAAGTCTCACCTGAGGGAAGTCTCACCTGAGGGAAGTCTCACCTGAGGGAAGTCTCACCTGAGTGAAGTCTCACCTGAGTGAAGTCTCACCTGAGGGAAGTCTCACCTGAGTGAAGTCTCACCTGAGGGAAGTCTCACCTGAGGGAAGTCTCACCTGAGGGAAGTCTCACCTGAGGGAAGTCTGAGATCATCAGCTGTGAAGGAGAGGCGTCACTCTGACAGAAACACAGGAGCCTCATCCCAATACCCCTCCTCGACTCCTCTCTTCCCCTCCTCCGGGACTTGACCCGGAAATCGATCAAGACACGCCATGTTGAAGGACGTCCCAATAGCTGAAATGCACACGGAGGAGTCGAGGAGGGGTGAGGGAGGAGGGGTGCGGGAGGAGACGAAAGGGAGGATACACGAGAGCAGACTACGCGGAAGTGTTTTCACTACTCGCGTATCAAAGCCCCGCCCCCACCTTCACAGCTGGCCCCGCCCCCACCTTCACAGCTGGTCCATTTCAAGAGAGGAAAACGGAGAACTGGAAGAATGAGTGGGAAAGCGTCACATAAATGTCTAAGTGCTCACAGCTCCGTGGGAATTATTATGTGCAATTCATTTCTTAAGGTTATACTAACAATTTAAGTCATGTTTAATGATCTTGAACGTCACTAAAACATAGCTATTAAGAAAGCTATTTCATAAATGGCTAGATCTTGATCAATAACAATTATTTGTTTTGTTTTGTGTTAAAATATTGAGTAGTTAAATTATTTAAAATGCACAGTCCTGAATGTGTGTTTGTGGTGAATGTGGGGATCTACAGGACACACATGTTCAGAGTAAAGGCTTTCACATTATTATAAATATAATTTTATTGAAATGTACATTTTACACCAAAACGGAACACAAAAGCAGGACCAACCATCATACATTGAATTCCTTGACTAAAAAGAGAAAGATTCATTCATTTAAATACATATTTAACAACAAATGGGCCGGTTCTAAAGGTTCTAAAGGTTCTAAAGGTTATTCAGTTAAACCCGATGAGAGGGGATACAGCTGTGCACATGTCATCATTAACAGACGTCGTTTAAGAGTGACGTGTGAGTGAACGAGGACGTCCCAATTAATACCTGAGGACTCCTCTGTCCTCGCGTCTCCTCCTCGTGTCTCTCGCTCGCATCTTACGGAGGCGGAGCTAAGACGCAAGGAAGGGACGCGAGTGAGGGAAAGGAGGAGTCGAGGAGGGGTATTGAGACGAGGCTACAGAATAAGAATTTTTTTTTTATTTTATTTTGAAAATATTTGTTTTAATGAGGTTTTCAGAGTGTGTGTGTTTGTGTGTGTGTGTGTGTGTGTGTGTTTTAAGTGTGTGTGTGTTTGTGTGTGTGTGTGGGGGGGGTGTGTGTGTGTTTGTGTGATTGTGTGTGTGTGTGTTTGTGTGTGTGTGTTTGTGTGTGTGTTTGTGTGTGTGTGTGGGGGGGTGTGTGTGTTTGTGTGATTGTGTGTGTGTGTGTTTGTGTGTGTGTGTTTGTGTGTGTGTGTGGGGGGGGTGTGTGTGTTGGTGTGCTGGTGTGTGTGTGTGTTTGTGTGTGTGTGTTTGTGTGTGTGGTGGGGGTGTGTGTGTGTGTGTGTTTGTGTGTGTGTTTGTGTGTGTGGGGGAGGGGGGGTGTGTGTGTTTGTGTGTGTGTTTGTGTGTGTGTGTTTGTGTGTGTGTTTGTGTGTGTGTTGCAAGATAATGACAGACTGAAAGGAGATGCGTGTTTGTACTCGTGAGGACCCTCACACACACACACACTAGAACTCACAATAAACACACACATACATGATTGTTGATATTGTATAATGAATATATTTAGCTATGTCTTAATAATTCCGCATTTGTTTAATATATTGAATATAATTTAAAATGAACATCAGGAAAGTGTTTTTAATATTTAAGAGATGTCAACAAGGACACGGTGTGACATAAACACACAAGAGGTCACATGACACTGCAGCTGTTTGACACACACACACACACACACACACACACACACACACACACACAACCCCACCCCCACACACACCCCCCAGCACGCCCTCCCCACACACACACACACCACAACACAGCACACAACACCACACACACACACACACACACACACACATCTCACACAACACGACACACTACCCACCACCCCCACCACACCCATCCACACCCCCACCCCCACACTACCCACACACCACACACACCCCCCTACCCACCCCACCACACACACAACACACAAACACAACACACACCCAACACACCCACACACACCACACACACACACATCCGAAAGCCACAAACCCACAACACACCCACCCACACACCCCACACACACAGCATCACACACCACACACCACACACACATCACACCCCACCACACCCACACACACACCCCACCACGACACCCAGCCCCCCCCACAGAACACCACATCACACACACACACACACACACCCCACCACACACACACAACACCACTACACATCAAAAACCCCCCCAACCACCACCCACACACACACACACACACCACACACACACACCCCACACACCCACACCCACCACCCCCCCACACACCCACCCCCCCCCCCACACACACACACCACACCACACACACACACACACACACACACACCCACACCCCCCCCACACACACACCCCCCCCCCACACACACACACACACACACACACACACACACACACACACACACCCCCACACACACACACCCACACCCCCCCACACACACCCCCCCCCCCCACACACACACACACACACACACACACACACACACCCCCACACACACACACACACACACACACACACACACACACACACACACCCCCACACACACACACCCACACCCCCCCACACACACACCCCCCCCCCCACACCACACACACACACACACACACACACATATTTGGGTCAAAAGTGAAGCCAGCGTCTGCATTTAAAGTGTTAAACTGAATATGTATTAATATAAATGTGAATGTGTTGATTAGTCAGGGGTATGGAGGCCAAAAGGTGCCATAACAACAATAACAATAAATGAACAAAATAGAAAATAAAGAAATTAAGAAATAAAAGTGAATGACTATATAAACAGGAAAAAAAGAGGAATAAATAAGTAAATCATATAAGAACATAAGAACAGGGCCGACTGTGTGGCGCCTCATCTCGCGGAGGAAGCCTCATCTCGCGGAGGAAGCCTCACCTCGCGGAGGAAGCCTCATCTCGCGGAGGAAGCCTCATCTCGCGGAGGAAGCCTCGCCTCGCGGAGGAAGCCTCATCTCGCGGAGGAAGCCTCATCTCGCGGAGGAAGCCTCATCTCGCGGAGGAAGCCTCGCCTCGCGGAGGAAGCCTCATCTCGCAGAGGAAGCCTCGCCTCGCGGAGGAAGCCTCATCTCGCGGAGGAAGCCTCGCCTCGCGGAGGAAGCCTCATCTCGCGGAGGAAGCCTCATCTCGCGGAGGAAGCCTCACCTCGCGGAGGAAGCCTCATCTCGCGGAGGAAGCCTCGCCTCGCGGAGGAAGCCTCATCTCGCGGAGGAAGCCTCGCCTCGCGGAGGAAGCCTCATCTCGCGGAGGAAGCCTCATCTCGCGGAGGAAGCCTCATCTCGCGGAGGAAGCCTCATCTCGCGGAGGAAGCCTCATCTCGCGGAGGAAGCCTCATCTCGCGGAGGAAGCCTCATCTCGCGGAGGAAGCCTCATCTCGCGGAGGAAGCCTCGCCTCGCGGAGGAAGCCTCATCTCGCGGAGGAAGCCTCGCCTCGCGGAGGAAGCCTCGCCTCGCGGAGGAAGCCTCATCTCGCCTCATCATATAACTTTGCGTGGGGTCTCACGTCGGCCCTGTGAGAGTATAAGAAACATGTGGTGATAGAAAAGAGAAATAAAATAAATAAATAAATATGAATAAAATATTTGAAAAAATTAATAATTTAATTTTCTTTATATCAATTTTTTTATTTTAAATAATTATTAATAATAAGTATTTCTTTATTCCTATGTCCCGCCCACAAGGCAACAACATGTCAACACTTCATGCTACATGTTGACGACCGGGGGGGTTTCACAGAAAGGCATGTGCAGCTCTATTTCTGTCACACACACACACACACACACACACACACACACACACACACACACACACACACACACACACACACACACACACACACACACACACACACACACACACACACACACACACACACACACACACCAGAGGGTATAAAGGCTGCAGGCGTTCAGCTGCCGGCAGACAGACACATGAGGACGAGGAAGGAGAGACTTTGGAATTGAAAAAGATCTTAAAGTCAAATCTATCCTTTAGAGACTTCAAGAAGAGGAAGAAGAGGAGCAGCAGGACTTTAAAGAGTTCAACAGGAAGAAGAAGAAGAGGAGCAGCAGGACTTTAAAGAGTTCAACAGGAAGAAGAAGCAGAGGAGCAGCAGGACTTTAAAGAGTTCAACAGGAAGAAGAAGAAGAGGAGCAGCAGGACTTTAAAGAGTTCAACAGGAAGAAGAAGCAGACTGACCGTAGAGATGGACATCGTGTCCGTGGTGCGTTCAGGCTCAGCCATGGAGAGTCTGGAGCAGCAGCTGAGCTGCCCCATCTGTCTGGAGATGTTCACCAAGCCGGTGGTGATCCTGCCGTGTCAGCACAACCTGTGCCGAGGCTGCGCCAACGACCTGTTCGAGTCCAGGAACGCCTACCACTACTCCGGGGGGACCTTCAGGTGCCCCACCTGCCGCCACGAGGTGGTCCTGGACCGCCACGGCGTGTTCGGCCTGCAGAGGAACCTGCTGGTGGAAAACATCATCGACATGTACAAACAGCAGCAGGAGGGCAAGGGCCAGCTGGAGGAGGAGGAGGAGGTGAGGAAGAAGGAGGGAGGAGACGAGCCGCGCTGCAGGGAGCACGAAGAGGAGAAGATCAACATCTACTGCGTGACCTGCAAGACCCCCACCTGCTCCATGTGCAAGGTGAGAGACTATAGAAACTACAGCGTCTCTCTGGAGCTGAGAGGGTCCATCAGGGTCAGGGTCCAGGTGAACCATGCAGAGGATCAGGGTCAGAGGTCATGAAGCCCCTCTGACCCGTAGGATCTGGTAGTTTGTAACTGAGGAACTGACTACCAAGTACTTTATTATATAAAGTTAGACTTGTTTAATATTTTATAATTTAGATTGTTAAACTACAGCGTCTTTATCTCCTGGAGCTCCTGAACCTTCCTGTCCTCAGAGTTCTGGTCCCAGAGGAACTGGATCTGAAGTTCCTTAGAGTTCTGGTCCCAGAGGAACTGGATCTGAAGTTCCTCTGACTCTAACTTCTTCTTCTTGTGTTTCCTGTCTCCAGGTGTTCGGCGCTCACAAGGACTGCGAGGTGGCGCCGCTGCTCTCCGTCTATAATACCCAGAAGGCCGAGATGCGTGTTGCCGTGGAGACGCTGGCAGCTAGCAGCGCGGCGCTACAGGCGGCCGTCGCTCAGATGGACGACGCCTGCTCGCTCATCGTGGAAAACGGCGAGCGGCAGAGGAGGCGTTTGGGCGAAAGTCTGGATCTGCTGTACGCCATCTTGGAGGAGAAGAAGGGCGAGTTACTGGAGAACATCGGGAGGGAAGAGAGAGAGCGAGTGGCGAAGCTAAACGGCGTCGCGGCGCTACATCGCCAGCAGCTACAGCTAAGCGCCGCCATGCAGGAGAAGCTAACGGCTAGCATGCAGACGCAATGCAGCGCCGCCAGCTTCCTATTGGACGCCAAGACGCTGAGGGAGGAGGCGGAGCTAGTGGCGGGCGGCGCCCCCCCGAAGGGACCGGAGCCAGGGGTTGAGAGTCTGGATCACATGACCATCGACACCTCAGAGGCCCAGAGGCTGCTCAGCGCTATGGAGTTCAGACGGGAGTGAGAGGGGCTTTTATTGTGAAGGGCACCGTGTGGAGGCAGAGTTTCAGAATAAGAGCTGAACTTTGAATACATTTATTCGTCCAACAGATGAGATTTACTCACTTAGTGTTATGAACGATAAAGAGACTTTATTCTGGACATGTTGAGTGAACACAACAAGGAGGCTTTTATTCTGAAGGTCAAAAGGTCTAGGAGTAAACCTGACATTTCAAAATAAGAGCTGGACTTTTGGATTCCTTTATTATTCCGTTATTCGTCCCACAGAGGAGATTTACTCGAGTATTATGAACGATAAAGGGACATGACGAGTGAACACACCAAGGAGGCTTTTATTCTGAAGGTCAACATAAGGAGGGATCATTTCAAAATAAGAGCTTTTGAATTCCTTTGTTATTCCGTTATCCGTCCCACAGATGAAGGGAACTTTATTCTGGACTCGACGAGTGAACACACCAAGGTGACTTTTATTCTGAAGGTCAAAAGGTCCAGGAATAAACGTGACATTTCAAAATAAGAGCGTTGAGTACGAAAGACAGACTTTATTCTGGAAACATGAAAAGCCTGACGTTCCTCAAACACCAAGAAAATACTTTTCGACTTTTTATACTTTTTCTATTTATGTGTTTCCTCGTGCGGACGAAGTCTGGAGAGATTTATTTATATCGTGTTTTCTGCTGTAACTCGTGAACGTGTTAATAAAGTTTGACGGTGACTCTGTCCTTTCTCAGCGTCTGTTTTTAGCCGTTGACCCACTTTCAGAGGGGTCAGTGAACGCCTCCTTACTTGGTGTAACTGGAGGACGGGAATAGATAAGGGGCTTTTATTTTGGCGGGGGTCTGGTTTCTGAGGGGGACCCAGACTGAGAGGTGTGAACAGATACAGTCTTTATAAGGACATCCGTGACGGGACAAGTCAAAAGAGTGCCAACAAACATAAACTATTTAACAGAATAGATCATAAAGAGTTATACTATTATAATAATAATAATATATGATAATTATATTTAAACATAATGGCACAACATTCTAAAAATATTTAAAATACTAAAAAACAATAAAGTGAAGTTATATAAAGAGAATAAATGATTGCATCCTGAGGGTGAGTTGAGACCCTAACCCTAAAGGGAGTCTGGTGGACTGACTCAGGATCAGAGACCTGGATCTTAAGTTAGACCTGAACCCTGTGAACCTGCAGCTGCTGGAGGTCTGCTGATATATATACCTCATTATTTAATGATGTGTTTACACTTTTATATTCATATATCTATATTTATATTCTGTCTGTCTGCATGTGTAATTCCCCTGCTGTCCACCAGTGGGCGCCACTCGCACACAGTCCACCAGTGGGCGCCACTCGCACACAGTCCACCAGAGGGCGCCACTCGCACACAGTCCACCAGAGGGCGCCACTCGCACACAGTCCACCAGAGGGCGCCACTCGCACACAGTCCACCAGAGGGCGCCACTCGCACACAGTCCACCAGAGGGCGCCACTCACACACAGTCCACCAGAGGGCGCCACCGGCACACAGTCCACCAGAGGGCGCCACCGGCACACAGTCCACCAGAGGGCGCCACTGGCACACAGTCCACCAGAGGGCGCCACTGGCACACAGTCCACCAGAGGGCGCCACCGGCACACAGTCCACCAGAGGGCGCCACTGGCACACAGTCCACCAGAGGGCGCCACCGGCACACAGTCCACCAGAGGGCGCCACCGGCACACAGTCCACCAGAGGGCGCCACCGGCACACAGTCCACCAGAGGGCGCCACTGGCACACAGTCCACCAGAGGGCGCCACCGGCACACAGTCCACCAGAGGGCGCCACTGGCACACAGTCCACCAGAGGGCGCCACCGGCACACAGTCCACCAGAGGGCGCCACTGGCACACCAACACACAGGAAGGCCTTTATGATTACATGTGATTCAGTAGTGTGAGTTCACAGATGAACTCTGATGAATAGGATGTTCAATCAATAATCATTAGTATTGTTATTTTCTGATGTATTCTGGCTGCAGGGGATTTGAATAAAAGACGTTCCCGCTGAGAGACATCTGAGGATCAGACGCCCCCCCGCTGAGAGCACTCTATTAATAACAATTACATAAATATCAATACATTATAACCAGACAATATCTGGATCAATGCGTCAGAGAAACTACTTTCATATTTAATATCAAATCCTCACTTTGCACCAAACTAATATTATTATTATCTATTTTGTAATATTATTATAATTTGTTCTATTTATTATTAGTTATTTTCTTTATTATTATTTGTTATTTTCTTTGTTATTTTTTGCTATTTTTATATTATTATTATTAATATCTATTTTCTCTACAAAATAAAGTTTTTAATAAAGTGAACACACTTCGTAAAGTGGTCCTGTTGTGACCTTTAACAGCTTATATAAACACATATAAGTATTATTGTATTATAGTGTGTACAGGCTCAGTGGGGGGGCACCCACGCACGCAGAGCAGAGCTTGCATATTCTTTATGAATCAATCATTTTTCAAAGACACATACATTAGTGATGTGTCGGTCGCGAACGAGCCGATTCTTTTGAACGGCTCTTTGGTACGAACGAGGGGAACCGAGTCGTACTTGGTGAGAGCCGTTCTTCTTATCGTTCAATCAAAGTTGGTCCGCACTCACTGCCTGCCAAAATTCACTCGCCTTTTAAAAAGCTTGATTTTGTTCCCCAAACGTATTCTGTGAAGACCCGCCCCTACTCTGATTTGTAGGTTTCAGCACGAGGAGTTAGGTGGGGTGGGTCTTAACGGAATACGCGAGAGAGAGAAGTCATAACAAGTGGTACTGGACAGATAGACGACGTGTTTTTCGGATGTAAAATGAGCCAAACGCGAAAACGCAGCAGCATTTGGATGCACTTCAACCAAAACCCAGGCAGTGATAAAGCGCACCATTTGTAAAGGCAAAATATCCTTTAAAGCAGGGTCAACAAATAATCTCCATCGCCACTTAAAAACACACTACTAATATTAAGAGTTGCGTGAATTTCATTCAAGGCAAGGCAACTTTATTTACTTAACACATGCAGAGGGTAAATTCAAAGTACATTCACTGACATGAATGACATGGATATGGCGCCACCTTGTGTCATGTTTACAATGCAGATTATTGACATTAGGTCTGGCAATGCAGTCAATCATTATCCTGGTGATTATTTCGCAGATAAACCTAGTAACCCCCGCCCCCTTTTTAAAAAAACGGCTCTTTTGAACGGCTCTTTTGAACGGCTCTTTGAAAGGAACGGAGCCATAAGATCCGGCTCCCTTCAAAGAGCCATAATTCCCATCACTAACATACATTTCTTGGGGGTGCTATGGCTATCCTGGGGGCTACTTCACCCCCTGGCGCCGCCACTGTAAAGTGTGTGTACAGTGTGTGTACAGTGTGTGTACAGTGTGTGTACAGTGTGTGTACAGTGTGTGTACAGTGTGTGTACAGTGTGTGTACAGTGTGTGTTGGTACCGATGAAGAAGGGGGGTGGGCTGGTCCTGGTGTTGAAGCGAAGAGATGCATCATGGGAGTCCAACAGGAGAGGGACAGGTAATGAGAGGAAGCTGCTTTAATTGCATTTTAAACATTTAAACACAGAACAAATATTATTATTATTATAAAAGTACTTTCTGAAATAAATAAATATGTTTTTAAATCTTCATGCTGTAATTAATAAGTTAAATCAATAGAAAAAGAAAAAATGAATATTAGAGAAGGTAAACATCTCCCTCTGGCGGTTACAACAGCAAACTGCACCTCTAAAAATACTAATACTAATAAAATAGTTTTGGCCTAATTTTAAATATAAATAAAAGGGTAAATAAATAACAAATACAACATAGAAATAGGGATAACAAAAGTAAATAAACAAATGAATATTAAATACTAACCTGAGCAGGATCTAAGCATTAATTAATAACACATTAAATGCAATATAACGTTAGCCTGTCTAACAACCTCACACTGACTCATTTAAAACGTTACAAAGCTCCAAACATTTTTAGCCAGAGTTTTCTGGCTAGTTAGCATCAGTTAGCCTTTAGCACAGCCGACGCTCCTCCGTTTCTACGGTAACAGGACATCATGACGTCATCACGCTGCCAGCCAGGACGTCACTCTGCAGCAAAGTGGATCGATGGAGAAATAACAACATTAAATATGTCTTTTTATAGATTTTATATTCAATTAAAAAAGATCTTATGACGTCACTAACTAAACACGGTTTGATTTGTTGCAACACAGAAATAGATCAATATGAATAAAAGTAGACTATATTTTAGTTGGAATAATTAATAAATGGTTATTTTTGAGATTATACCTGGTAAAAATGGTCCTTTATTTCTTTTATTCTTCTAAATATTATTTATATATTTCTATGCTTAACAATATAAACTGTAAATTAAAGTAATCATTTAAAAGTAGTTTTTTAAGAATAAAGTTAATCGGGTGTAAAGCTGCTGTGACGTCATCTGGCCTCTGGGGGGCGCTTTTGGCACTGCTGTGACGTCATCTGGCCTCTGGGGGGCGCTTTTGGCACTGCTGTGACGTCATCTGGCCTCTGGGGGCGCTGTTGGCTCACTGAAGGAGCTGTGGGGGGGCGCTGTTGGCTCACTGAAGGAGCTGTGGGGGGCGCTGTTGGCTCACTGAAGGAGCTCTGGGGGCGCTGTTGGCTCACTGAAGGAGCTCTGGGGGCGCTGTTGGCTCACTGAAGGAGCTCTGGGGGGGCGCTGTTGGCTCACTGAAGGAGCTGTGGGGGGCGCTGTTGGCTCACTGAAGGAGCTCTGGGGGGCGCTGTTGGCTCACTGAAGGAGCTGTGGGGGGCGCTGTTGGCTCACTGAAGGAGCTGTGGGGGGCGCTGTTGGCTCACTGAAGGAGCTGTGGGGGGCGCTGTTGGCTCACTGAAGGAGCTGTGGGGGGCGCTGTTGGCTCATTGAAGGAGCTGTGGGGGGCGCTGTTGGCTCACTGAAGGAGCTCTGGGGGGCGCTGTTGGCTCACTGAAGGAGCTGTGGGGTCGCTGTTGGCTCACTGAAGGAGCTGTGGGGGGCGCTGTTGGCTCACTGAAGGAGCTGTGGGGGCGCTGTTGGCTCACTGAAGGAGCTCTGGGGGCGCTGTTGGCTCACTGAAGGAGCTGTGGGGGGCGCTGTTGGCTCACTGAAGGAGCTGTGGGGGGCGCTGTTGGCTCACTGAAGGAGCTCTGGGGGCGCTGTTGGCTCACTGAAGGAGCTGTGGGGGGCGCTGTTGGCTCACTGAAGGAGCTCTGGGGGCGCTGTTGGCTCACTGAAGGAGGACTTTATTACAAGGAAGTACATTAATTATAATATTATAATATTTAAATGAATTATTAAACATAAATTAATATATACAAAAATCTAAGAATATTAAAGAAATGTTTTCATTTTAAATAACACATGCAAGTGTGTATTATAACATCCTGTGAAATAAAATAATTTAAAAAACTCAATTTTTAGTATTAATAATATAAATAACTAATATAATAAAATATAATATAATATAATACAATATAATACAATAAATATAAAATATAATTGTATTTAATAAAATATAATTTAATTTAATATTTCACTAAACGTCAATAGTAACGCCACCTTTACAGTACTAGTAACGTTAATAGTAACGGAGGAAGGCGGGGTGTGTAGTGTGTGTGTGTGTGTGTGAGCAGCTGCTGCAGCCCCTCTCTCTCTCTCCCTCTGCGCAGGCGCACTGGAGGCTCCGTGCACCGAGCTGCTGCTGAGCTGCTGCCGGCGGAGAGACACCGAGACCCGGGACGATGCTGCAGAGAGAGCCGCGAGGAGCACCGTGAGCACCGCGAGGACAGGAGCACACCGGGAGGAGCACCGGGATGGACGGGTAGCAGGAGGCACGAGGCCGAACATCAGGGGAGAGAGCGCGAGGAGGAGAGAGCGCGAGGAGGAGGAGGAGGAGGAGGAGGAAGAGGAGGATGAATTCTGTGGAGGGAGGAGGAGAGGAAGGCCTGGCGACGGCAGGTAGGGTGTGTGTGTGTGTGTGTGTGTGTGTGTGTGTGTGTGTGTGTGTGTGTGTGTGTGTGTGTGTGTGTGTGTGTAGTGGGAGATGCTGTGGCCATGATGCCTCCACATCCGCCCATTGACTCAGAGAATGTGTGTGTGTGTGTGTGTGTCAGCACCCCTCTAGTCCATTGGGGTGTGTGTGTGTGTGTGTATTGGGGGGTGGAGGGTCCTACCAAGGAGGATTGTGGGAAGGCCTGCTTGGTTATCATCGTGTGTGTGTGTGTGTGTGTGTGTGTGTGTGTGTGTGTGTGTGTGTGTGTGTGTGTGTGTGCTGTGGTCACATGATGCCATCCATTCATTCCTGTAGTATTATAAGGGGGGTGGATGATATATATTTATTTAGTGTTATTGTTTTCTGTATACTGCTCTGTGATTGGCTGAGAGGCATCAATTAACAGTAATTAGAGGTGTATCAGCCTGCAGGTGACTGTACAGTCAAACTGGTGAAATAAACAACATAAACAAAGTGTATTTTCATAAAGAAATCAGACTTACCGCTTTAATATCTATTTAACATTTATATAAACTTCATATTCTGGGATTTTAATTCCTAATTATTTTTTAAATTATAATTTTTTCATTAGAAATGTTACAGAGTTGTTATATTTAATTACATGTAATATTGTAATGATACATATAGTACATTTAAAACCTTAAGGAACTTCTGGGCTTTATTTTGAAAAACCATGTTGTGTTTTACTTTGAAGGAGCTAGAGGGCTTTTATTTTGAAAGGACTTATGTGCTTTTATTGTGAAAAACGATGTTATGAATGACTAACGACTGCTTCTCTTTTGAGCTTAATTAGTCATTTAACGAGCTGTAATGCTAACGTATGATAAAGACGCTTTGAGCTGGAGTGTGTGTGTCTGTGTGTGTGTGTGTGTGTGTGTGTGTGTGTGTGTGTGTGTGTGTGTGTGTGTGTGTGTCTGTGTGTGTGTGTGTGTTGTGTAATCTGTGCGATGAGTCCTGACAGACTGACAGCAAGTTCCTCAGAAGGCTTTTTATCCACTGCTATTTTAGGACCAACACTGACTCACTGTGTGTGTGTGTGTGTGTGTGTGTGTGTGTGTGTGTGTGTGTGCGTGTGTGGGACTTGTTCATTACAATGGAAATCCCTCTGCCTCCATCTGACTCACAGTTGTTGGACAGCGGTCAGTGCACACACACACACACACACACACACACACACACACACACACACACACACACACACACACACACACACACACACACACACACACACACACACACACACACACACACACACACACACACACACACACACACACACACACACACTAGTGACTGCACTCTGTTGTGTATTTATATTTGCATACATGTATTTATATTATATATTTAACTCTACCAACACTTAACACATTCACAAGGCGTAGTAATGTCAGGGCTTTTATTCTGAAGGTTAAGTAGGTCTTCTTAAGGCAATAGAGGGCTTTTATTTTGAAGGATTAGTAGCGCTTTAACCAAAAAGATGATACATGGCTTTTATTTTGAAGTAAAAGGTGTGGCAGGGCTTTTATTGTGAAAGGGTAATAGAGGGTTTTATGGTTAAGACTATAGAGGGCTTTTATTTTGAAGTAACACGACTTGTCATTTTAAATGAGTTGCAGGGCTTTTATTGTAAAACTACTCGACTGGACCTGTTAATGTGTAGATTTGTGATTTTAAAACAGGGTGTCAGTCCAGATTAAAGTGTAACTCTGGGGGGGGGGTGGAGGGTCCCTTAGGGAGGATTCAAGGACACTAGTGAAGGAGAAGGAGACATGAGAGAAGACGGTTTAGGTTGCATAAGAGTGAGCGTCCTTCTTCATCTCCTTCCTGTCTGCCTCTCTCTGATGTGAGGCGTTTAAAGCCCTGTGTGTGTGTGTGTGTGTGTGTGTGTGTGTGTGTGTGTGTGTGTGTGTGTGTGTGTGTGTGTGTGTGTGTGTGTGTGTGTGTGTGTGTGTGTGTGGTGTGTGTGTGTGTGTGTGTGTGTGTGTGTGTGTGTGTGTGTGTGTGTGTGTGTGTGTGTGTGTGTTGGATTAGTTTCATCCCGCTGTGGAGGATGATCTGCAACACACACTCTCACACACACTTCTATCAGCCGCTCCTTCTGATTGGCTCGTTTCCGTGGATGAGCGAAAGTAGTTTTATATTTTCATTATTTAATTCTCAGTTTTAATTTCAAACGAACTGGAACTAACGCTTTTTGACGGGATTTTAAAACCACCGTTAAAAACATTTTGGGGGAAATAATATCCCCTGAGTTTAGAATGTAAGGCTCACAGTTTGAGGACAAGGGAATATAATAAAATGACACAGAACAAGAACACACAGATTTATGATAATTCATCCTCAATACTGAGCAGGTAAACACAGAGAGGCTGATACGTCTGTTCAACTTTACTGAAAGGAAAAGACTCTTACGATATTCAAAATCTAAAACAATATCTAGTCTAGAGCAATATATCGATCCTATATCGATATATTGCTCTAAAGCAGGGGTCTCCAACACGTCGATCGCGAGCTACCGGTAGCTCGCAAGCCCTCAATAAGTAGCTCGCCAAGCAAATCCAAAATGTAAAAAATACACCAAAAATAAAGGAAATGTAATTAAAAGAATCTACCCTATGCATAAACGAAACCTCAATCATAGCGAACTCTATCTACTTACTACAACTCTATATCTATCTAACACCCCTCCTCCCCCCACCCCACACAATGAATATCGACCAATAACATTCTTGCTATATTTGCGGGACCAGCGTTGCAGTCTGGAAGAAAAGCAATGTGGAGCGGCAGCTCACCGCTTCATAAGGAGTTTAACCTTTCCTTCTGGCAGAATCAACACAACACATCAGCCCCATTGAACAGCCTAGTCATGCCAGCCTATACAACACATGAGGGGCAGAGTTTTACTGTGTGTGTGTTGCAACTTGCATATTTATTGCACTTGACGCACACACACGCATGGCGTAATTTCCACTGGGGACAGTCCCCCCCACTTTTCGAAATCCCGTTTGTGTCCCCCCACTTTACAAATATGTTTATTTTATTTTTTTAGCAAGCCGTCATCGCCACGGAGGAGCACACAGTCTCTGTGAGGGAGCGAGAGAGAGAGAGACAGAGAGACAGAGAGAGAGAGCACACCTTTATCTATTTAATATAGTTGTAACAAATAAAGTAAGAAATCATTCCAATGTGTACTATATTGTATTTAAAAGGGGAGTGATTAGTAAAATAAGCATAAATAGAAAGAAAAAATGCTAACTAGGTAACATAAAATAAGAATAATCAAGTTTAAATGATTTGTTATTGGTTGTGATCATATTCTAAAGATGTTTGGATTATTGAAAAGTATACAGCTCCCTTTCATGAGTGCTGAGAGCTGTATCCATAAATTCATGTTGCTCTCAAAGTGCACCAGATTGATGCATTTCACTTCAACATTTAAAAAAAAAATCTTCCCGGGGGTGCAAGCCCCCGGACCCCCCTAGAGGATGTGAGGTCCACCCCCAAATAAAGCAGGTTAAAATAATTAAATTGCATACATTTTCTTTTAGTAAACACTGAAAACGGGTCCCACAGACCCAAAAGCACACAAAGGTTAAAGGTAAGCATATCATAATGTTAAAATGTGCTAAATATATACACTGCAAAAAACAATAAAAAGAGGAGTAAAAGTAGCTCACGACTTGTTTTATTTTTTGAAAGTAGCTCTCATCCTAAAAAAGGTTGGAGACCCCTGCTCTAAAGTCTAAAGTCTAAAGTCTAAAGTCTGAAGTCTGAAGTCACAAAATACATCGAAAAGCAGCAAAAACGAGCAAAATAATATTTTAAAAAGCACATTCTCCCTCAGGTCCGGGTAAACCTGAGTGTCCGCGGGCCGTCGACGTCCTGACGGTGCTCCGAGAGAAGGTTGCCTTTGTGTCAGGTAACACACACACACACACACACACACACACACACACACACACACACACACACACACACACACACACACACACACACACACACACACACACACACACACACACACACACACACACACACACACACACACACACACACACACACAACACACACCCAGGTGAGACCAGGTGTAACGGACAGTGTTTCTTCAGGTGGGCGGGACAAACGTGGAGGACCAATCCTGACCTTCCCTGCCAGGACCAATCACGATCGAATAAAACAGGAAGACCTCAGCCGATTGGTCACTTACCTGGCGACCATACCCAGGTAACACCTGTCCACCACTCAGTCTGTGTATAAGTATAAATACTCTGTATCCGCAGTGATGATGTGTATTAGTACTCACCTGTGTCTCCTCAGTGATGATGTGTATTAGTACTCACCTGTACCTGTGTCTCTCCTCAGTGATGATGTGTATTAGTACTCACCTGTGTCTCCTCAGTGATGATGTGTATTAGTACTCACCTGTGTCTCCTCAGTGATGATGTGTATTAGTACTCACCTGTACCTGTGTCTCTCCTCAGTGATGATGTGTATTAGTACTCACCTGTGTCTCCTCAGTGATGATGTGTATTAGTACTCACCTGTACCTGTGTCTCTCCTCAGTGATGATGTGTATTAGTACTCACCTGTGTCTCCTCAGTGATGATGTGTATTAGTACTCACCTGTGTCTCCTCAGTGATGATGTGTATTAGTACTCACCTGTACCTGTGTCTCTCCTCAGTGATGATGTGTATTAGTACTCACCTGTGTCTCCTCAGTGATGATGTGTATTAGTACTCACCTGTACCTGTGTCTCTCCTCAGTGATGATGTGTATTAGTACTCACCTGGACCTATGTCTCCTCAGTGATGATGTGTATTAGTACTCACCTGTACCTATGTCTCCTCAGTGATGATGTGTATTAGTACTCACCTGGACCTATGTCTCCTCAGTGATGATGTGTATTAGTACTCACCTGTACCTGTGTCTCCTCAGTGATGATGTGTATTAGTACTCACCTGGACCTATGTCTCCTCAGTGATGATGTGTATTAATACTCACCTGTACCTGTGTCTCTCCTCAGTGATGAGGTGTGTGGGCGGGGCTTCACGGTGGTGGTGGACATGCGAGGCAGTAAGTGGGACAGTGTGAAACCTGTTCTCCGGACGCTGCAGGAGTCCTTTGCCTCCAGCATCCACGCCGCGCTGCTCATCAAACCTGACACCTTCTGGCAGAAACACAAGACCAACCTGGGCAGCGCCAAGCTCAGCTTCGAGGTACTAGTACTAACAAACATGTACTACTGCTGTACTACTGCTGTACTACTGCTGTACTACTGCTGTACTACTACTGTACTACTGCTGTACTACTGCTGCTGTACTACTACTGTACTACTGCTGTACTACTGCTGTACTACTGCTGCTGTACTACTGCTGTACTACTGCTGTACTACTGCTGTACTGCTGCTGTACTACTACTGTACTACTGCTGTACTACTGCTGCTGTACTACTACTGTACTACTGCTGTACTACTGCTGTACTACTGCTGCTGTACTACTACTGTACTACTGCTGTACTACTGCTGCTGTACTACTGCTGTACTACTGCTGTACTACTGCTGTACTACTACTGTACTGCTGCTGTACTACTACTGTACTACTGCTGTACTACTGCTGCTGTACTACTGCTGTACTACTGCTGTACTACTGCTGTACTACTGCTGCTGTACTACTACTGTACTACTGCTGTACTACTGCTGTACTACTGCTGCTGTACTACTGCTGTACTACTGCTGTACTACTGCTGTACTGCTGCTGTACTACTACTGTACTACTGCTGTACTACTGCTGCTGTACTACTACTGTACTACTGCTGTACTACTGCTGTACTACTGCTGCTGTACTACTACTGTACTACTGCTGTACTACTGCTGCTGTACTACTGCTGTACTACTGCTGTACTACTGCTGTACTACTACTGTACTGCTGCTGTACTACTACTGTACTACTGCTGTACTACTGCTGCTGTACTACTGCTGTACTACTGCTGTACTGCTGCTGTACTACTACTGTACTACTACTGTACTACTGCTGTACTACTGCTGTACTACTGCTGCTGTACTACTACTGCTGTACTACTACTGCTGTACTACTGCCAACACAGAATCTAATACTGCTGCCAACTTTAGTAAACGTACTGCTGACTATAATACCACTGCTGCTAACTGCTGCTAACTGCTAACTGCTGCTAACTGCTGCTAACTGCTGCTAACTGCTGCTAACTGCTAACTGCTGACTGCTGCTAACTGCTAACTGCTAACTGCTGCTAACCGTCTCCAGACCAGCCTGGTGTCGGTGGAGGGTCTGTCCCGGCTGGTGGACCCCTCCCAGCTGACCTCGGACCTGGGGGGTTCTCTGGAGTACGACCATGTGGAGTGGACCGAGCTGCGCCTGGGTCTGGAGGAGTTCACCGGCGCCGCCACGCAGCTGCTGGCCCAGCTGGAGCAGCTGGAGGCCGGGCTGAACCGAGTCCCCAAGCCCCAGGACGTGGACGAGGCCCGCAAGTGAGTCAATGTCCACTTGGACCCACAGATGATCATGAACCAATAACATTTGGTGGAGGATCCCGTCCGTCCCAAACACAGAAAGCGATACCTCAGAATTCCTTGAGGGAATTTCTTAAAATGTGGAATAAACATCCACTTGGACTCAAAGACAAACTCAGTGACGTAACTTTGGACTGACTGGGATGTTATCTGTTATATTTTGTTCATGGAGTACTTCTTTCCCTGCCCAGACTCCTGGAGGAACACGGTCGTCTCAGAAACACCATCTCCACGGCACCAATCGACTCTCTGGAGCGGGAGGGGCGGAGCTTGCTCCAGCGAATGCGAATGCCCTCCCACGGTGACGCCTCCTCTGAAGGAGGTGGAGGAGGTGGAGGGGGTGGGAGTCACGGCAGCTGGCTCTCCGGCGGCGCAGACTTCCAGAGCATTGCTCCAAAGGTCTCGGCCCTGCTGGAGCGCCTGCAGGTGGCCCGGACCCACCTGCTGCAGAGCTGGGGCGACAGGAAGCTGACCCTGGACCAGACGCTGCAGCTGCACCTGTTCGAGCAGGACGCCGCCAAGGTGAGGTCAAGTCCATCGGCGATACGTAACACTGCTGATAGATGTTGGGGAAATATGTTCCTATAGGCCCACACCTTTGACCAAGTTGACCAGTGTGTCCTCACTGAGCAGCTGCTCTCAGTATCTCTCTGCTCCTCCTGCTGGCGTCAGCTGATAGAGGTTATAGTGATGTATCTTGTTCTGCAGCATGTTGATTCTTCTCTCAGAACTAAATACATGGTCTTGGGAATTCTCCGCCGAAGCTCCAAATAAACCATCTGTGTTTCCATCAAAGCTCCTGCTCTCTGTGTCTCTCTGAGTCTCCATTGATCCAGAAGTTTCCATCACACTAGTAGGGGTGGTTCACTGAACACCTCAGAGGCCTGTGCTACGAAGCCGGTTCAACCTAACCTGGATATGTTTGAGTTAGCCGGTTGGCCCAATCCAAAACAAACGCGCTCTCGCTAAGCGGTCCTACGACGCTGGTTATCAAGTCGTTAACTCAAGCCAGCCGTGTCCTATCTAGTTAGGTGCGCGTTCACATGAAAGGGGCGGGGTTAGCAACATTTGACCAATCAAAAACAGGGAGAAGCGTACTGACAGCGCAGCGTCATAATTCCTGAATGAAAAGTCAACTTTAATATTAGATATGAAGAAGTTAAACTTTAAACATCCATGACTTAAACACTTTATCCAGGATCAAAGCCACACAGCTGCACCTGCAAGGTGAATACAGCTGGTAACAGAGAAAGTGTTTGAATGCGTACATTAACAGGTTTATGATATCACTGCCCCGTCTAAGACACGATCTGACTTTAATTACATTTGACTCGAGTGTTTCGTCAACTTAATGTGTTGCTTAAAATAATACTTCTGCATACAGTATGTGACACTGAGTGTTGCACGGCCAGATACGGCTCAGCTGACTCAGATAAGGAAATATATGATACATTATGATGTGATATGATATGAATGATAATGGGACACATCGACGTCTGCACTCACAGTGCCGCGGACTGTACTTAATGTTACTCTGATCCGGTTACTTATGTCGTGGCAGATATTTAAGTAAGCTTTCTTAACGCTAATGTTATAATAGTCAGATTGCTCTGAAGATGGGAGGGGATATTCTATTAATGTTCACGTTCACACAGTCAGTTGATTTTTGCCGGCCGTCTTTCCTGCAAACCCAGAGGTTAGCTCGCTAAGAGAAAATGCGGCTTCGTAGGACAGGCCTCAGGTGTGTGCTCGTTCAAACACTGGATCCAGGAGGCCGTTTGTATTGCAGTCAGGTGATGCAGGTAGAGACACACCTGTGACCTGCTGCTGATAACCCCAGGTGTCTTTGTGTCTTTGTGTCTTTGTGTCTTTGTGTCTTTGTGTCTCAGATGTCGGAGTGGATCGCTCACAGTAAAGATCTGTTCGTCCAGAGTCTGGCGGAGGTGGGTCAGAACCACCAGCATGCCCTGGACCTCCAGACGCAGCACCAGCACTTCACCGCCAACTGCATGGTGCGTGTGTGTTTTGTTGGTTGTTGTTTTGTTTGTATGTTATATGTTTTGTTGTGACACTAACTCAACAACAACACTGCTTGTTGCCGGGCAGAACGGAAGCGTGAACGTGGACAGCGTGGTTACCGTGGCAGCCAGGCTGGCCCAGGCTGGTCACTACGGGGCGGAGCGTATCGCCATGGTGTCGTTACGGTTACAGGAGGACTGGAAGTCCCTGACGACGGCGCTGGAGGAGCGTAGCAACACCCTCGTCATGGCAACCGGCTTCAACCTGGGGGCGGAGCAGGTGAGATGCTACGACTTTATTCACGAAATGTGACGAGGTTTACATGAAACATAACGACTACACATGAACAATTACAACTTTTTTCTCACCTGTCCCTCTCACCTGTCCCTCTCACCTGTCCCTCTCACCTGTCCCCTTCACCTGTCCCTTTCACCTGTCCCTTTCACCTGTCCCTTTCACCTGTCCCTCTCACCTGTCCCTTTCACCTGTCTGTCTCACCTGTCCCTTTCACCTGTCCCTTTCACCTGTCCCTTTCACCTGTCCCTCTCACCTGTCCCTCTCACCTGTCCCTCTCACCTGTCCCTCTCACCTGTCCCTTTCACCTGTCCCTTTCACCTGTCCCTTTCACCTGTCCCTTTCATCTGTCCCTTTCACCTGTCCCTCTCACCTGTCTGTCTCACCTGTCCCTCTCACCTGTCCCTCTCACCTGTCCCTCTCACCTGTCCCTCTCACCTGTCCCTCTCACCTGTCTGTCTCACCTGTCCCTCTCACCTGTCCCTTTCACCTGTCCCTCTCACCTGTCCCTCTCACCTGTCTGTCTCACCTGTCCCTCTCACCTGTCCCTTTCACCTGTCTGTCTCACCTGTCCCTTTCACCTGTCCCTCTCACCTGTCCCTCTCACCTGTCCCTTTCACCTGTCCCTTTCACCTGTCTGTCTCACCTGTCCCTTTCACCTGGTCCTTCACCTGTCCCTTCTCACCTGTCCCTGTCCCCCTTAACCCTGTCCCTTTCACCTGTCCCTCTCACCTGTCCCTCTCACCTGTCCTTTTCACCTGTCCCTTTCACCTGTCCCTTTCACCTGTCCCTCTCACCTGTCCCTTTCACCTGTCCCTTTCACCTGTCCCTCTCACCTGTCCCTCTCACCTGTCCCTCTCACCTGTCCCTCTCACCTGTCCCTCTCACCTGTCCCTCTCACCTGTCCCTCTCACCTGTCCTTTTCACCTGTCCCTTTCACCTGTCCCTTTCACCTGTCCCTCTCACCTGTCCCTTTCACCTGTCCCTCTCACCTGTCCCTTTCACCTGTCCCTCTCACCTGTCCCTTTCACCTGTCCCTCTCACCTGTCCCTCTCACCTGTCCCTTTCACCTGTCCCTTTCACCTGTCCCTCTCACCTGTCCCTTTCACCTGTCCCTTTCACCTGTCTGTCTCACCTGTCCCTCTCACCTGTCCCTTTCACCTGTCCCTTTCACCTGTCTGTCTCACCTGTCTGTCTCACCTGTCCCTTTCACCTGTCCCTCTCACCTGTCCCTTTCACCTGTCCCTTTCACCTGTCCCTCTCACCTGTCCCTCTCACCTGTCTGTCTCACCTGTCCCTTTCACCTGTCCCTCTCACCTGTCCCTTTCACCTGTCCCTCTCACCTGTCCCTCTCACCTGTCCCTTTCACCTGTCTGTCTCACCTGTCTGTCTCACCCTGTCCCTCTCACCTGTCCCTCTCACCTGTCCCTCTCACCTGTCCCTCTCACCTGTCCCTTTCACCTGTCCCTTTCACCTGTCCCTCTCACCTGTCTGTCTCACCTGTCCCTCTCACCTGTCCCTCTCACCTGTCTGTCTCACCTGTCCCTTTCACCTGTCCCTCTCACCTGTCCCTCTCACCTCTCCCTCTCACCTGTCCCTTTCACCTGTCCCTCTCACCTGTCCCTTTCACCTGTCCCTCTCACCTGTCCCTTTCACCTGTCCCTTTCACCTGTCCCTCTCACCTGTCTGTCTCACCTGTCCCTCTCACCTGTCCCTCTCACCTGTCCCTCTCACCTGTCCCTCTCACCTGTCCCTTTCACCTGTCCCTTTCACCTGTCCCTCTCACCTGTCTGTCTCACCTGTCCCTCTCACCTGTCCCTCTCACCTGTCTGTCTCACCTGTCCCTTTCACCTGTCCCTCTCACCTGTCCCTTTCACCTGTCCCTCTCACCTGTCCCTCTCACCTGTCCCTCTCACCTCTCCCTCTCACCTGTCCCTTTCACCTGTCCCTCTCACCTGTCCCTTTCACCTGTCCCTCTCACCTGTCCCTCTCACCTGTCCCTTTCACCTGTCCCTTTCACCTGTCCCTCTCACCTGTCCCTTTCACCTGTCCCTTTCACCTGTCCCTCTCACCTGTCCCTCTCACCTGTCTGTCTCACCTGTCCCTTTCACCTGTCCCTCTCACCTGTCCCTCTCACCTGTCTGTCTCACCTGTCCCTTTCACCTGTCCCTCTCACCTGTCCCTCTCACCTGTCTGTCTCTCAGTTCCTGCTGAGGGTCCAGGGTTGGGTTCAGACCTGCTCTGAAGGCTCGTTGCCGTCGGCAGCTAACGAGCTGGACGCAGCGACGAAAAAACACACGGAGCTTAACGAGGAAATCTCCGCCGACTACACACAGGTACCTGTCTGTGTTTACCTGTGTGTGTTTACCTGTGTGTTTACCTGTGTGTGTTTACCTGTCTGTGTTTACCTGTCTGTGTTTACCTGTGTGTGTTTACCTGTGTGTTTACCTGTGTGTGTTTACCTGTCTGTGTTTACCTGCCTGTGTTTACCTGCGTGTGTTTACCTGTGTGTGTTTACCTGTGTGTGTTTACCTGTGTGTGTTTACCTGCCTGTGTTTACCTGCCTGTGTTTACCTGTCTGTGTTTACCTGTCTGTGTTTACCTGCCTGTGTTTACCTGTGTGTGTTTACCTGTGTGTGTTTACCTGCCTGTGTTTACCTGCCTGTGTTTACCTGTCTGTGTTTACCTGTCTGTGTTTACCTGCCTGTGTTTACCTGCCTGTGTTTACCTGTCTGTGTTTACCTGTGTTTACCTGTGTGTTTACCTGTGTGTGTTTACCTGTGTGTGTTTACCTGTGTGTGTTTACCTGTCTGTGTTTACCTGTGTGTGTTTACCTGTGTGTGTTTACCTGTGTGTGTTTACCTGTCTGTGTTTACCTGTGTGTGTTTACCTGTGTGTGTTTACCTGTGTGTGTTTACCTGTGTGTGTTTACCTGTGTGTGTTTACCTGTCTGTGTTTACCTGTCTGTTTACCTGTCTGTGTTTACCTGTCTGTGTTTACCTGTCTGTGTTTACCTGTGTGTTTACCTGTGTGTGTTTACCTGTGTGTGTTTACCTGTCTGTGTTTACCTGTCTGTGTTTACCTGTGTGTTTACCTGTCTGTGTTTACCTGTCTGTGTTTACCTGTCTGTGTTTACCTGTGTGTGTTTACCTGTGTGTGTTTACCTGTGTCTGTTTACCTGTCTGTGTTTACCTGTCTGTGTTTACCTGTGTGTTTACCTGTCTGTGTTTACCTGTCTGTGTTTACCTGTGTGTGTTTACCTGTGTGTGTTTACCTGTGTCTGTTTACCTGTGTGTGTTTACCTGTCTGTGTTTACCTGTGTGTGTTTACCTGTCTGTGTTTACCTGTGTGTGTTTACCTGTGTGTGTTTACCTGTCTGTGTTTACCTGTCTGTGTTTACCTGTCTGTTTACCTGTCTGTGTTTACCTGTGTGTGTTTACCTGTCTGTGTTTACCTGTCTGTTTACCTGTCTGTGTTTACCTGTGTGTGTTTACCTGTCTGTGTTTACCTGTGTGTGTTTACCTGTCTGTGTTTACCTGTGTGTGTTTACCTGTGTGTGTTTACCTGTCTGTGTTTACCTGTCTGTGTTTACCTGTCTGTTTACCTGTCTGTTTACCTGTGTACCTGCAGGTCAGTGAGAGTGGTAAAGCCTTGCTCGACGTCCTCCAGCGTTCCTCGCCCTCTGACTCTGAAGAAACGGCGACAAAACCCGACTTCACCTCTGCCACGCACGGCATCATGGGAGTTCTGCACCAGGTCATGCAGGTAACCTGAGACACAGACAGGTTAGATTACAGACAGGTGAGAGACAGACAGGTGTATTTATGTGTGTTTCTACCTGAAGGGCCACCACGAGGTGGAGGGGGCGTGGCAGCACCGTAAGCTCCGCCTCCACCAGCGTCTGCAGCTGTGTGTGTTCCAACAGGACGTCAGACAGGTCACTCATTGATTTAAATTATTCAAATTTTGATTTATTTTGTTATATTTCTAACTTGATTTTGATTCTTATAACTTGGATTGATTTTGTATACATTTGATTGAATGTATCAATCAAATACCCCCACCTGTACCTGTCAGGTGTTGGACTGGGTGGAGCAACATGGAGAGGTTTTCCTGAACAAACACACCGGCGTGGGGAAGTCTCTGCACCGAGCGAGAGCGCTGCAGAAACGCCACGACGACTTCCAGCAGGTCGCACAGGTACACAGGAATACACACTGAAATACAAAGAAGTACACACTGAAATACACTAAAATACATACTGAGATAAACACAGTAATACACACTGAAATACAAAGAAGTACACACTGAAATACACAGTAATACACAGAAATACACAGAACTACACACTGAAAATATATACAGTCTGAAGCTGATGCATTGATCTGAATCCCTGCACGATAATAATAGTAAATTATTAACTGTGTCCGGTGTGTGTGTGTGTGTGTGTGTGTGTGTGTGTGTGTGTGTGTGTGTGTGTGTGTGTGTGTGTGTGTGTGTGTGTGTGTGTGTGTGTGTAGAACACGTACACTAACGCAGAGAAGCTTCTGGAAGCGGCGGATCAGCTGGCTCAGTCCGGAGAGTGTGAGGAGGAAGAGATCTACCAGGCAGCAAGAGACCTGGAGCTCAGGATGCAGGTACGCTCTTATTCTGAAGGGCACGCTCTTATTCTGAAGGGTCACGCTCTTATTCTGAAGGGTTACGCTCTTATTCTGAAGGCTTACGCTCAGTCTGAAGGGTTACACTCTTATTTTGAAGGGCACACTCTTATTCTGAAGGCTTACGCTCTTAGTCTGAAGGGTTACGCTCTTATTCTGAAGGACACGCTCTTATTCTGAAGGCTTACGCTCTTAGTCTGAAGGGTTACACTCTTATTCTGAAGGACACGCTTTTATTCTGAAGGCTTACGCTCTTAGTCTGAAGGGTTACGCTCTTATTCTGAAGGACACGCTCTTATTCTGAAGGCTTACGCTCTTAGTCTGAAGGGTTACGCTCTTATTCTGAAGGACACGCTCTTATTCTGAAGGCTTACGCTCTTAGTCTAAAGGGTTACGCTCTTATTCTGAAGGGTTACGCTCTTATTCTGAAGGCTTACGCTCTTAGTCTGAAGGGTTACGCTCTTATTCTGAAGGACACGCTCTTATTCTGAAGGCTTACGCTCTTAGTCTGAAGGGTTACGCTCTTATTCTGAAGGGCACACTCTTATTCTGAAGGCTTACGCTCTTGTGTGTGTGTGTGTGTGTGTGTGTGTGTGTGTGTGTGTGTGTGTGTGTGTGTGTGTGTGTGTGTGTGTGTGTGTGTGTGTGTGTGTGTGTGTGTGTGTGTGTGTGTGTGTGTGTGTGTGCGCGTGCGTGTGTGTGTGTGTAGGCATTCATACAGAGGGTGGAACAGAGGAAGCTGCTGCTGGACCTGGCGGTGTCTTTCTACACACACACCAAGGAGGTAACGAACACACACACACACACACACACACACACACACACACACACACACACACACACACACTGATATACCTGGTGTGTAATGTGCTTCCAGCTGTCGGCCTGGATGGAGGGTCTGCAGAAGTCTCTCTCCGTTGACCCCGGTTTGTCTCCGGACTCGGTGGAGGGTCTTCAGTCTCTGATTAGCCAGCAGCAACAGCAGCAGGCCAACACACAGGTGACCTCTGACCCCTCTGACCCCGCCCCCTGCATTATAACACCCTAACACCCCCCCTCTGACCCCCCCCACTAACCCCACTCTAACCCTGACCCACAGGAAGCTGCGATGAGTGTCATCCGGGAAGGAGAAGACCTCATCCTGCAACTCAGGTACACACCTCCTCTCAGGTGGCCGAAACAAGTGCCCCCCTGCTGTCTGTGCGTGGTGTGATTATTACTGTGGGGCCGCTTCATTCACTCAGCAGGGCAGCTCATACTTGTGTGGAGCAGGCGGGTGTTATTACTGTGGGTGTGTTTGTTTTAGTGCCATTGTTTCACATGTTAGGCTCGCCGGGGCTTTTTTTGTAAAAATGCTATTAAAACATGAACCTTGGTGACCATCGGGCTGGCCCCAACAACAGCCTCTGATCATCAACAGACTTCATGCAAAGCTTCATCAGATGCATATTATAATCTCTATCTCCTAACATCTGAATCTACTTCCAGCGTGGATACATGTTCATAAAATACATCCATTGTTTGTTCTATATGCTTCTTGAAATAAAGCACCAGGGGGCGCTCACGGACCACCAGTGGTCCCCGGACCACACTTTGAGAAGCACTGCTCTAGTAGTATATGTGGGTGCTTTTATTTTGAAGTATGGGTGCGTTTGTTTAGTAGTGTATCCTCTGTGGGTGCGTTTGTTTAGTAGTGTATCCTCTGTGGGTGTGTTTGTTTAGTAGTGTATCCTCTGTGGGTGTGTTTGTTTAGTAGTGTATCCTCTGTAGGTGCGTTTGTTTAGTAGTGTATCCTCTGTGGGTGTGTTTGTTTAGTAGTGTATCCTCTGTGGGTGTGTTTGTTTAGTAGTGTATCCTCTGTGGGTGTGTTTGTTTAGTAGTGTATCCTCTGTGGGTGTGTTTGTTTAGTAGTGTATCCTCTGTGGGTGTGTTTGTTTAGTAGTGTATCCTCTGTAGTGTATCCTCTGTAGTGTATCCTCTGTAGTGTATCCTCTGTAGTGTATCCTCTGTAGGTGCGTTTGTTTAGTAGTGTATCCTCTGTAGTGTATCCTCTGTAGTGTATCCTCTGTAGTGTATCCTCTGTAGTGTATCCTCTGTGGGTGTGTTTGTTTAGTAGTGTATCCTCTGTAGTGTATCCTCTGTAGTGTATCCTCTGTAGTGTATCCTCTGTAGTGTATCCTCTGTAGTGTATCCTCTGTAGGTGCGTTTGTTTAGTAGTGTATCCTCTGTGGGTGTATCCTCTGTAGTGTATCCTCTGTAGTGTATCCTCTGTAGTGTATCCTCTGTAGGTGCGTTTGTTTAGTAGTGTATCCTCTGTAGTGTATCCTCTGTAGTGTATCCTCTGTAGTGTATCCTCTGTAGGTGTGTTTGTTTAGTAGTGTATCCTCTGTGGGTGTGTTTGTTTAGTAGTGTATCCTCTGTAGTGTATCCTCTGTAGTGTATCCTCTGTAGTGTATCCTCTGTAGTGTATCCTCTGTAGTGTATCCTCTGTAGGTGCGTTTGTTTAGTAGTGTATCCTCTGTGGGTGTATCCTCTGTAGTGTATCCTCTGTAGTGTATCCTCTGTAGTGTATCCTCTGTAGTGTATCCTCTGTAGGTGCGTTTGTTTAGTAGTGTATCCTCTGTAGGTGTGTTTGTTTAGTAGTGTATCCTCTGTAGTGTATCCTCTGTAGGTGCGTTTGTTTAGTAGTGTATCCTCTGTAGTGTATCCTCTGTAGTGTATCCTCTGTAGGTGCGTTTGTTTAGTAGTGTATCCTCTGTAGTGTATCCTCTGTGGGTGCGTTTGTTTAGTAGTGTATCCTCTGTAGTGTATCCTCTGTGGGTGCGTTTGTTTAGTAGTGTATCCTCTGTAGTGTATCCTCTGTAGGTGCGTTTGTTTAGTAGTGTATCCTCTGTAGTGTATCCTCTGTAGTGTATCCTCTGTAGGTGCGTTTGTTTAGTAGTGTATCCTCTGTAGTGTATCCTCTGTGGGTGCGTTTGTTTAGTAGTGTATCCTCTGTAGTGTATCCTCTGTAGTGTATCCTCTGTAGGTGCGTTTGTTTAGTAGTGTATCCTCTGTAGTGTATCCTCTGTGGGTGCGTTTGTTTAGTAGTGTATCCTCTGTAGTGTATCCTCTGTAGTGTATCCTCTGTAGTGTATCCTCTGTAGTGTATCCTCTGTAGGTGCGTTTGTTTAGTAGTGTATCCTCTGTAGGTGTGTTTGTTTAGTAGTGTATCCTCTGTAGTGTATCCTCTGTGGGTGTGTTTGTTTAGTAGTGTATCCTCTGTAGTGTATCCTCTGTAGGTGTGTTTGTTTAGTAGTGTATCCTCTGTAGTGTATCCTCTGTGGGTGCGTTTGTTTAGTAGTGTATCCTCTGTAGTGTATCCTCTGTGGGTGTGTTTGTTTAGTAGTGTATCCTCTGTAGTGTATCCTCTGTAGGTGTGTTTGTTTAGTAGTGTATCCTCTGTAGTGTATCCTCTGTAGGTGCGTTTGTTTTGTAGTGTATCCTCTGTAGTGTATCCTCTGTGGGTGCGTTTGTTTAGTAGTGTATCCTCTGTAGTGTATCCTCTGTGGGTGTGTTTGTTTAGTAGTGTATCCTCTGTAGTGTATCCTCTGTGGGTGCGTTTGTTTAGTAGTGTATCCTCTGTAGTGTATCCTCTGTAGGTGTGTTTGTTTAGTAGTGTATCCTCTGTAGTGTATCCTCTGTAGTGTATCCTCTGTAGGTGTGTTTGTTTAGTAGTGTATCCTCTGTAGGTGTGTTTGTTTAGTAGTGTATCCTCTGTAGTGTATCCTCTGTGGGTGTGTTTGTTTAGTAGTGTATCCTCTGTAGTGTATCCTCTGTGGGTGCGTTTGTTTAGTAGTGTATCCTCTGTAGGTGCGTTTGTTTAGTAGTGTATCCTCTGTAGTGTATCCTCTGTAGGTGTGTTTGTTTAGTAGTGTATCCTCTGTAGGTGCGTTTGTTTAGTAGTGTATCCTCTGTAGGTGCGTTTGTTTAGTAGTGTATCCTCTGTAGGTGTGTTTGTTTAGTAGTGTATCCTCTGTAGGTGTGTTTGTTTAGTAGTGTATCCTCTGTAGTGTATCCTCTGTAGGTGCGTTTGTTTAGTAGTGTATCCTCTGTAGTGTATCCTCTGTGGGTGTGTTTGTTTTAGTAGTGTATCCTCTGTAGTGTATCCTCTGTAGGTGCGTTTGTTTAGTAGTGTATCCTCTGTAGTGTATCCTCTGTGGGTGCGTTTGTTTAGTAGTGTATCCTCTGTAGTGTATCCTCTGTGGGTGTGTTTGTTTAGTAGTGTATCCTCTGTAGTGTATCCTCTGTGGGTGTGTTTGTTTAGTAGTGTATCCTCTGTGGGTGCGTTTGTTTAGTAGTGTATCCTCTGTAGTGTATCCTCTGTAGGTGTGTTTGTTTAGTAGTGTATCCTCTGTAGGTGCGTTTGTTTAGTAGTGTATCCTCTGTAGTGTATCCTCTGTAGGTGTGTTTGTTTAGTAGTGTATCCTCTGTAGTGTATCCTCTGTGGGTGGTGTGTTTGTTTAGTAGTGTATCCTCTGTAGTGTATCCTCTGTAGGTGTGTTTGTTTAGTAGTGTATCCTCTGTAGTGTATCCTCTGTAGGTGCGTTTGTTTAGTAGTGTATCCTCTGTAGGTGCGTTTGTTTAGTAGTGTATCCTCTGTAGTGTATCCTCTGTAGTGTATCCTCTGTAGGTGCGTTTGTTTAGTAGTGTATCCTCTGTAGTGTATCCTCTGTAGTGTATCCTCTGTAGGTGCGTTTGTTTTGTAGTGTATCCTCTGTAGGTGCGTTTGTTTAGTAGTGTATCCTCTGTGGGTGCGTTTGTTTTGTAGTGTATCCTCTGTAGGTGCGTTTGTTTTGTAGTGTATCCTCTGTAGTGTATCCTCTGTGGGTGCGTTTGTTTAGTAGTGTATCCTCTGTAGTGTATCCTCTGTAGGTGCGTTTGTTTAGTAGTGTATCCTCTGTGGGTGCGTTTGTTTTGTAGTGTATCCTCTGTAGTGTATCCTCTGTAGTGTATCCTCTGTAGTGTATCCTCTGTGGGTGCGTTTGTTTAGTAGTGTATCCTCTGTAGTGTATCCTCTGTAGGTGCGTTTGTTTAGTAGTGTATCCTCTGTGGGTGCGTTTGTTTAGTAGTGTATCCTCTGTAGTGTATCCTCTGTAGGTGCGTTTGTTTTGTAGTGTATCCTCTGTAGTGTATCCTCTGTAGGTGCGTTTGTTTTGTAGTGTATCCTCTGTAGGTGCGTTTGTTTAGTAGTGTATCCTCTGTAGGTGTGTTTGTTTAGTAGTGTATCCTCTGTAGTGTATCCTCTGTAGTGTATCCTCTGTGGGTGCGTTTGTTTTGTAGTGTATCCTCTGTAGGTGCGTTTGTTTAGTAGTGTATCCTCTGTAGTGTATCCTCTGTAGGTGTGTTTGTTTAGTAGTGTATCCTCTGTAGTGTATCCTCTGTAGGTGTGTTTGTTTAGTAGTGTATCCTCTGTAGTGTATCCTCTGTAGGTGTGTTTGTTTAGTAGTGTATCCTCTGTAGTGTATCCTCTGTAGGTGCGTTTGTTTAGTAGTGTATCCTCTGTAGGTGTGTTTGTTTAGTAGTGTATCCTCTGTAGTGTATCCTCTGTAGGTGCGTTTGTTTTGTAGTGTATCCTCTGTAGGTGTGTTTGTTTAGTAGTGTATCCTCTGTAGGTGTGTTTGTTAGTAGTGTATCCTCTGTAGTGTATCCTCTGTAGGTGCGTTTGTTTAGTAGTGTATCCTCTGTAGGTGTGTTTGTTTAGTAGTGTATCCTCTGTAGTGTATCCTCTGTGGGTGTGTTGTTTAGTAGTGTATCCTCTGTAGTGTATCCTCTGTAGGTGCGTTTGTTTAGTAGTGTATCCTCTGTGGGTGCGTTTGTTTAGTAGTGTATCCTCTGTGGGTGTGTTTGTTTAGTAGTGTATCCTCTGTGGGTGTGTTTGTTTAGTAGTGTATCCTCTGTAGTGTATCCTCTGTAGGTGTGTTTGTTTAGTAGTGTATCCTCTGTAGTGTATCCTCTGTAGGTGTGTTTGTTTAGTAGTGTATCCTCTGTGGGTGTGTTTGTTTAGTAGTGTATCCTCTGTAGTGTATCCTCTGTAGGTGTGTTTGTTTAGTAGTGTATCCTCTGTAGTGTATCCTCTGTGGGTGTGTTTGTTTTGTAGTGTATCCTCTGTGGGTGCATTTGTTTTGTAGTGTATCCTCTGTAGTGTATCCTCTGTAGGTGTGTTTGTTTAGTAGTGTATCCTCTGTAGGTGTGTTTGTTTTGTAGTGTATCCTCTGTAGTGTATCCTCTGTAGGTGTGTTTGTTAGTAGTGTATCCTCTGTAGTGTATCCTCTGTAGGTGCGTTTGTTTTGTAGTGTATCCTCTGTAGGTGTGTTTGTTTAGTAGTGTATCCTCTGTGGGTGTGTTTGTTTAGTAGTGTATCCTCTGTAGTGTATCCTCTGTAGGTGTGTTTGTTTTGTAGTGTATCCTCTGTAGTGTATCCTCTGTAGGTGTGTTTGTTTAGTAGTGTATCCTCTGTAGTGTATCCTCTGTAGGTGTGTTTGTTTTGTAGTGTATCCTCTGTAGTGTATCCTCTGTAGGTGTGTTTGTTTAGTAGTGTATCCTCTGTAGTGTATCCTCTGTAGGTGCGTTTGTTTTGTAGTGTATCCTCTGTAGGTGTGTTTGTTTAGTAGTGTATCCTCTGTGGGTGTGTTTGTTTAGTAGTGTATCCTCTGTAGTGTATCCTCTGTAGGTGCGTTTGTTTTGTAAGTGTATCCTCTGTAGGTTGTGTTGTTTAGTAGTGTATCCTCTGTAGTGTAATCCTCTGTAGGTGCGTTTGTTTTGTAGTGTATCCTCTCGTAGGTGCGTTTGTTTAGTAGTGTTATCCTCTGTAGTGTATCCTCTGTGGGTGCGTTTGTTTAGTAGTGTATCCTCTGTAGGTGTGTTTGTTTAGTAGTGTATCCTCTGTGGGTGTGTTTGTTTAGTAGTGTATCCTCTGTAGTGTATCCTCTGTAGGTGTGTTTGTTTTGTAGTGTATCCTCTGTAGTGTATCCTCTGTGGGTGCGTTTGTTTTGTAGTGTATCCTCTGTGGGTGTGTTTGTTTAG